TTAGAGGGAACATATTTAAATCCTGGAGACTAACTTCTTTCACAAAAAAAAATATTAAACATCATTATCATTCCACCTACTCAGATGAAATGCTCCACAAAAAGTTTGGAGTCTTGCAATGGTTGTGAAAAAAAAAGTATTAGATATCATAATTACATCTCAGATGAAATGCCTCTAAAACAATAAAACAAAGTTAGAATATCATCAAATGAAATACCATGCATGTGATACAAAAAAGGTTGGAGTCTTGTAATGTGTGAGACAAAAAAAATGTTGGATCCTTGAAATGTTAAGAAACAAAAAAAAATAGAAACCAATGTTTGCAAAAAAACAAAAACAAAACAGAAGCACAAAATGTATAAAATATATAGTTAAACCTTTCATTCGGAAGAATATCTTTTTTCAGCCCAAGCTAAAACTCTATTAGCCATCGAAGATGAATGTGAAATTTCTACGAAATAAAATTTATTTGTTAGTTCAAACATGTAAAAGTATAATATTTATAAATATACAAGAATGTATAAATCATCACTTCTTCCAAATTTTCGATTTCTGCCAATGATTCTTCAAGTGTTACCGGTCCATAATCTTGTCGGATCCAATCTTGAGTACAAATAAGAGCTTCGACAAGTTGCGGAGTTAACGAACTACGGAATAGATCTATAACTCGACCACCCGTACTAAAAGTGGATTCGGATGCAACGGTCGATACCGGTATAGCCAAAACATCTTTTGCCATTTGAGAAATAATAGGATATTTGGCCACGATTACTTTCCACCAATATAGAATATCAAAGTTTTGGTCTGATCCTTTCTCACGTTTATCCGACAAATAACATTCCAACTCATTTTTTAGTATTATCTCTCCTTCACTTTTTTCAAACGCTTCAAACCTTGAATCCATATATTCATTGTTGATCACCGTCTTCGACTTAGTATTCCCAACCGTAGTAACACTTGATTCTGTTAGACAACTTGATTCTACATTGTTAGATTGAAAAGATTCATAATACTTGAATAACTTCTCCAAAGCATCTTTTAACTTCACAACCACTTCCTCGGCTTTAACGGGATCATCATAACTTTCACGAATCATCCAATTCACATAAGACAATTTATATCGGGGATCAAGAACATGTGCCACATAAATAGTCATGTTAACGTTATCCGAATGCCAATATTTATCAAACTTTTTCTTCATTCTCTCGGCCATAGACCTCAAACTTGGATCATCACTACTCATCATTTCTTTTATCTTTCATCCCGCACCAAATATCTCTTTCATGTACTCATTTCTTTTATCGTGACCCAGATACTTTTAAAGTTGACTCATAAAAACACTCCAAGATTGGAACCAAAGATTGTGCATATGACCAATCATCAGCACTTGGTGGACCTGATCCAAGTTTTGTAAGGTCTTCAACATATCTTTCATCTTCTGATTCCAACATATCAAACCTTTCTTTAAGTTTCCAAGCTGCAGCCAACATCAAGTATGTAGAATTCCATCTAGTTTCTACATCTAAACAAAGTCTAGCTTTCGTACACAACTTTTTATGCTTCAAACATTCTTTAAACTTTTGAGCTCTGCTTGTCGAAGACCTTACATAACGAACAATCGCACGAATTCGAAAAATTGATTCATGCATATCCTTCAACCCATCTTTGACGACCAATCCTAAAATGTGGGCACCACATCTCATATGTAAAAATTCACCATCCAAAATACTTGTTCTCCACGATTTAAACTTTCTTTTCAAGTATCGTATTCCAACATCATTTGGTGTAGCATTATCAATTATGACAGTGAAAACTCTATTGATTCCCCAAAAAAGCAAATATCTTTCCAACAACTTTCCAACTGTCTCACCCGCATGATTATGTATCGGACAAAAGCTGATAATCTTTTTATGCAACTTCCAATCACCATCAATAAAGTGGACAGTCAAACACATGTAGCTTATATTCTGAACAGATGTCCAAGTATCCGTTGTAAGAGAAACACTCCCTTTGTGTTTCTTAAAAAACTGAAACAACTTATACTTTTCCTCCATAAACAAACCCATGCAGTCTCTAGGTATTGCCCTCCGTGATGGAATAAGAAAACGAGGTTGCACAATTCTCATAATATATATATATATATAAACCCCTCTCTTTCAACAAATCGAAATGGCAGCTCATCCAATATCATCATTTTTACCAAAGCTTTTCGTGATTCATCTTGATCAAATACTGTAAATGATGGAACACCTCTTGTGGAATCAGATTTTATCTGATGATACAAAGTTGTTTGCTTTAGTTTCTTACTAGCATCCTAATCATCACCATCATCCTCACGGGGTCGTTTCTTACATGTTTTTAAATGTTTCAACATGGAACTGGTGGAGGTTCCAACGGAGGTAAGACAATCAATTGATGATCCACAGTAGTTACATATAGCCCTTTTCAAGTCTCTTGTTCTTTTAAAATGATTTCAAGCTTCAGATTTAGTTTTGGGTACCTTTTTTCCTTCAGAAACATCTCTATCTGTCTGTGCATCTTTGTTTGGTGGATCATTCTTCAATGCTAACTCTTCTTCTGTGTTCTCATCCATATTGAATATCTAAGAGACAAATAGAAACAAAATAATTTTGGGTACCTTTTTTCGAGAGAAGCTGGAGATTTACAGAAGAAAAATTGGTAAAAATAAAACTATAAATATTTATTAACGTTACTTTAACCTTATGGTATAGATGTAATTTAATATAAATATAAGGCTAAAATAGTAATTTTGAATAGTACACAGGTACCCGAAGGTACCCGTTTAAGAAAGGAAAATACCCGTACTCGAATCCGTCTTCGTAGGTATTTTATCTCAAATACATATTTTGGTTTTATAATCTATAGGGTACCTGATTTTCGGGTATCTGCGAAGACAGGTATCTGCAGGTACCCGAAATTCGGGTACCTTTGCCCACCCCTACCTCTCCCCCTCGATTCAGATACCAGAATATCAGAACTCGAGGAAGCTCCTTGAGATTGTCTTCGCGTCTCCTCATTCAGAATACTGTTCTTCACGTATTCCATCGAGATGACACAATCTAGAGTTGAATTCGATAATGACATCCCGAATGTCTCCCACGAATTCGGAAGTGTGCTGAAAAGCCACAAACTCTGAACCTCGTCTTCGATGGTGATCCCCATGTCAGATAAGTGGTTCAACAAACCTTGAAACACGTTCAAGTGATTTGTCACCGGACTTCATTCAACATACTTCAAATCGACCAATTTCTTGATGAAGTACAACTTGCGATTCCCAATGTTGCGAGCATACAATTGCTCCAGCTTGTTCCACAAAGACCGAACATTAGTCTCACCAACCAATGGTGCAAAACATTATCATCCACTGTTGGGATTCCTGTGATCTTGCTAGCAATTCATAATCCTAGAGGTTTGGTTCTAGGATTTATGCAGCGGAAGATGAAAAACAAAAATTTTCTAAATAAAACTCTAAAATCGAATATGCATGATTGTAGATCTATAGAAGAAATACTAACCTCAAACGATCCGGGACCTGCATTCATAACTGAATCGTCGGTCACAAAAATGCGTGAAGAATATCAAATCCTCTGCACGTATCCATTTGTCAGATAACCTATATCCTATGTACACCCCAAAAAAAAATATTAATGGAAGTTAAAAGTGTACAAAGTGGATACCACAAACCTAAAATTTCAATCAATATAATAATAACATAATGAATACAATTTCAATTTCTATTAAAACTAAAACATTTCCATTTCTACTGGCAATGATCGGTCTAGAAAATACTGGAAAAAAAGCATAATATTTGGGCATTATTTTCTAAATATGTTAAGTATTTAATATGAAAACTTTATTTTTTAACCAAATTTGATGGATATGCCTAGGACGGTAATTTTACAATTAAAATTAGTGGTTTAGGATAAGATATAGAAAGGAAATAATTAAGACTGATAATTTTGAATTTGGCTACCAATAAATTTAATTTAGTATTTTTAACAATATTATATATTCGATTTCTACTATATATGAATTTAATAGAATATTGTAACCTTCGTCTCTTTTAGATTTTATGAAGAAAAATATATCAAAAAAAGGGTTAAAGCGTTGTAAGATCCAATTTATGGTATTTTTTGGGTAAAACTCATAAAAATTTCTAAATTTGTGAAATGATGTAAAATAAAATTCTAAACTTTTTCTGTAATAAATTTATTTTTGAATTTGCAATATGTTACATTATAATTCTTAATTTATTTTGGAATCAACATCGTTAGAGATTTTTTTTCATATTAATTAAAAAATTTAGAAATTATAATGACATATTTTGCAAGTTTGATAATAAATGTGTGAAGCAGAAATATTAGAAATTTTGTTTCACCATTTTATAAATTCAGAAATTTTTATGGGGTTTACACTGTTTTTTTTTCTCTATATTCCATTACTACAATTTTAAAATTCTAAAATAATATCCACATTGTATAATTTCATTTTATATGTACTTTCAAAATATAAATATTAGACAGACAGTGTCGAGAAACGTTGAAAGACCATGGTGGATAGATGATTGAAGATAGTAACATTACCAAATAAAAAGGGACAATAAATTCTACACCTTAGAAAATATTTCACTTCTGTACAAACACAAGGAATCCACATGAAAAAAGGTAAATAAAAGCTTTCAATATCAAGCCATCCCTATTACTCTTATTATTGTTTATTAATATTATATATAAATGGGAATAAAAACAGGATTATTCTAGATTACAATTATTCAAACCTTTTTTTCAAAAGATTATTTAATATAAGTACATCAGTATTTAAGTTTGCAGAAATTATAGGCGATATAGTCCAATACGGAGCCATATAATTAATAGATTATTCTTTTTTTTTTCAAAATAAGTAAAGTATTTCAACTTCAATATTTATGTCAACGTTTATGACCTTCAAAAAAATCTCCACACACGTGAACAACTTGCCTCGTCCACGAGAGAGGGAGAGAGAGAGAGAGAGAGAGAGAGAGGGAGAGAGAGAGAGATGGCTAGAGAGATAGCAGGAGTAATAAATAATATCACAGAAACATCGCCGTTGGACTCTAACTATCTTCGTCATGTCATGTTCTTGGCTCTGGTCGGGATTTCAATAGTCTCGGCTCTGATATTCTTTTGCGCCGACGGAATCTCCAAAGACAAAGCCAATAACGGAGACTCCAACACTTACGGTGGCGGTTGCGCCGCTGGATGCGGCGGTGGCGGCGGAGGCGGCTGTGGAGCTTGAGCCGCTGAATTCGCACGTGTTCCAATTCTATCGGAAGGAACACACACAATCTGATTCTTACAGAATCCGACAGTTCCAACTCTTCTGGTGTTTTTGCGGCGACTGAATAGCCAATGAAAAGGTGCTACGTGTTGTTTCGGTAGAGATAATTCATATCTGTTGCTATTATCGATGGAGAGATCTGTGAGATATGTTCATGAAATTTAGTTTTGTCGCTCTGAAAACCGGACTTTAGTTTTTTCTTTTCATTTATTCCAAGTTTGTCAAAATTTATATCTTTGACTACAGTTAAGAAAAAAAAATGTGATTTTTGCAATTTTATGCGGATAAATTTCATAAAACTCTTTAGAAAAAAAATACAACTACAGAAGTAAAATTAAAACATTTCACACAAAAATGAGTCATAATTTTATTTATCTATGTTAGCAATTTGGTCCGGATAAACAAAATGGAAAACCAAAATAATTTAAATGACACAGAAACGACAACTGTATCTTCGATAAATTTTGATAATCAAATCAAGTATACATTATTTTCTTTATAAACTTGTTGGGCCTAAAATACCAAATAATTCGAGGAGAGACCCGATTGTAGTTGTGGTTTCGAGCTTGTACAGAAAGAGGAACAAGCGGATTTGTTCGCAGGAACCGTCTCGTCCCGATTTTTTTTGGGTCTATATTATTAAGGAGAATCAATTATAGATATCAAATCTGCTGCGATTGTAATCTTTCCATAACTGTTTCCTAAACTATAGCTAAGCCTTGCTGTATATATCCTCATGTAACAAGTGTAAAGCAATGCAATATTATTCAAACCCTCATATGGTATCAGAGCGTTTATAGTCAAAAGACTAAATCAACTCCGAAAACCCTAAAAATCCCCTCCTCTTGCTGTCGCCATGGCCACCGATGGAAGCTCCTCTGCCAACGGCAACCAATCCTCTGTTCCGAATGAGACTGTTACACCATTCAATCCAGAAAATCCCTCTCAAACATTGATCAACATCAATGTGTCGAATGTTTCGAAGCTAACGGCAACGAACTACATTCCGTGGAGTCTCCAAATCCGAGCCTTGCTGCAAGGCTATAACCTTGCTGGATTCCTTGAGCAAACTACTGCTCCATCAGCCACCGTCACCATCAACGACGTCGTCACCCCAAACCCCGCCTATGAGGCGTGGTTCCGACAAGATAGGCTGATCTTTGCTGCTCTCCTTGGCTCTCTCTCCAGCTCCTGCCAAGCCATCGTCACTACATCCCCAACCTCCGGCCATGCATGGCACACACTGGCCACGACGTACGGCCGTTCAAGCCGTGGCCATGTGAAACAAATCAAGGAGCAACTTCGTCGTTTCACAAAGGGAACCAAGTCCATTGATGACTATATGACTTTCTTCAAGGTAAAAGCCGATGAACTCGCTCTCCTTGGGAAACCGATGGATCATGAAGATCTTATCGACCTTACGCTTGCCGGTCTTGGAGATGAGTACAAGGCCATCAAAGATGTTGTCCACGCCAAGGACACCGCAATATCATTTGTTGAACTCCATGAGAAGCTACTCAACCATGAGGTGGATATTCTCGCATCACAGTCCACACTCTCGGTTGTCCCCATTACGGCTAATACTGCATCGTTCAAACCTCGGCAACAGTTTCGATCGAACAACCGTCAACAGCATGATCCGCGGATGCAAAGGAACTCGAATACTAGCTCAAGAGGCTATCAAGGCAAGTGTCAACTATGTGGAGTGCATGGGCATAGTGCGAAGTTCTGTCGTCTTCTTCGTGGAAATTCTGGCCACATGCAAAACTCGTCATATGGCTCCGATTCGAGCTCACTTGGGTCAGGTCTGTACCATCAGCCCTCGACCTATGCTCCGCCTCGTTCTGGTCCAATGGTGAATGTTGCCTCGGTTGGTGACCAATCCCCGGCATGGCTCCTTGATTCCGGTGCCTCGCATCACGTCACTACCGACCTAGCAAATCTCTCGCTCCATGCGCCTTATACCGGTGGAGATGATGTTGTGATTGGTGATGGATCAGGCCTCTCGATCGCACATACTGGTTCTATGTCACTTCCCTCTACCACTCGTTCTCTCTCGCTACATAATGTTCTTCATGTTCCGACCATTCATAAAAATTTAATTTCTGTCCACCAACTTTGTCATGCTAATGATGTTTCTGTCGAATTTTTCCCTCATTCTTTTCAGGTGAAGGATCTCAATACGGGGGCACAAATCACAAGAGGTCAAGCTAAGAATGGAGTGTACGAATGGCCGAAACCCGTTATCGAGTCTATCCGATCTCAACCTCTCGTTTCCGTCTTTTCTACTGTCAAGACCACTTTGTCTGAGTGGCATGCTAGGCTAGGTCATCCGTCTTTGGATACTTTACGTAAAATAATCTCCGGGTTATCTCTTCCGTTGATAAACCCGTCGAGTAAGTCATTGTTTTGCAATTCTTGTTCTATCAATAAAAGCCACAAGTTACCGTTTTTCACTTCCTCCGTTGTCTCCTCTAAACCTCTTGAAATTCTCTATTCCGATGTGTGGACATCTCCAATTGAATCGTTTGATGGTTACAAATATTACGTAATTTTTGTCGACCATTTCACTCGATACACTTGGCTCTATCCACTCAAAAGAAAATCCTCGGTTTTTGACGTCTTCGTTCGTTTCAAGCCCCTTGTTGAAAACCGATTCCAAACCAAAATCCTCACCCTTTATTCCGATAATGGAGGGGAATACCTTGCACTAAAAGACTTTCTTTCGAGTCATGGCATCTCTCATTTCACAACGCCTCCTCACACCCCCGAACACAATGGGATTTCCGAAAGGAAACATCGCCATATCGTGGAAACGGGTCTCTCTTTGTTATCTCATGCGTCTATTCCACGAGAATATTGGACTTATGCGTTTCCAACCGCAGTTTACCTCATAAACCGCCTACCGACCGAGATTCTAAGTCATCGTTCTCCATTTGAGTCTCTCTTTCAAACGATCCCAAACTATCACAAATTACGTTCCTTTGGATGTCTTTGTTACCCGTGGCTACGTCCATATTCCCGACATAAACTTGATCCCCGTTCCACTCCGTGTGTCTTTGTTGGCTACTCACTAACTCAAAGTGCGTACTTGTGTCTTCATGTCCCCTCTCACCGCCTCTATGTCTCTAGACACGTTGACTTTGAAGAAAACATCTTCCCCTTCTTGTCCCTTCGGGCCTCTGAGTCTCCTAGTTCATCGTGTGATCCACTTCCTTTGATCGAGTCTCGTCCTTCCCTAGTCCCGTACATGCCTTCGTACACGCCGTCGGCTTCGACCGTGTCTCCCTCAATGAATCCTTTGCCAGATGAGAATATGGGAACCTCGCCGGAAACCTCACCTTCACCCTCTCCTACTGCCGAGAACGTTACCAGCCCTACCATTCCTACACCACCATCACCGGCCACACACCAAATTTCCAGTGAGCCCACACATCGGTCCGAGCCATCACAAACTCCCATGATCGAGATCGAAAACCACCCTACCCAACCACCTATTCGAAACTCACACCCAATGACAACCCGATCCAAGAACCACATCTCAAAACCATCCAAGAAACTTACCCTCACTGTATCACACCAAACCCCAAGTGATATAGAACCCACATGTGTGACGAAAGCGCTAAAGGATCCGAAGTGGAGACATGCAATGCATGATGAATTCAATGCATTACTTCGAAATGGCACATGGCGACTCGTACCTCCTCACCCGTCCTACAATGTTGTCGGTAATAAGTGGGTTTTTCGAACTAAACGGCTTTCGGATGGTTCTATTGACAGGTATAAGGCTCGCCTTGTGGCCAAGGGTTTCCATCAAAGGCCCGGTGTTGATTACACCGAAACATTTAGCCCCGTGGTGAAACCGACAACAATACGGGTGGTCCTAAGCATCGCTATGTCTCGTGGATGGATCTTGCGCCAACTTGATGTCAACAATGCATTTCTCCAAGGGTCACTCACCGAAGATGTTTATATGACACAACCGCAAGGCTTTGTAGATCAAGACAATCCTACACACGTTTGCAAATTGCAAAAAGCTCTCTACGGTCTCAAGCAAGCTCCACGGACATGGTATAAGGAGCTATGCAATTTTCTTCTTCAATCCGGGTTCACAAATGCTCTCTCGGACACCTCTCTATTCGTCCTTCATCAAGGCGACATTTCCGTCTTTTTGCTCGTGTACGTTGATGATATAATCATCACCGGCAATCAACCGAGGATAGTTCGCAAGTACATCGACATGTTGGCAGCTCGGTTTTCCTTGAAAGATCTTGGCAACCTCTCATACTTTCTTGGTGTTGAAGTCACCGACACTCCGAAGGGTTTGCTTCTCACTCAAGAAAGGTATATCACGGATCTCTTAACTCGCCACATGTGCTAACCCTGTCACGACACCTATGTCTTCGACAGCCAAGCTCTCCATGCACTCCGGGATAGCTTTAGAAGATCCGACCCAATACCGACAGGTTGTAGGGAGCTTGCAATATCTCATGTTTACTCGGCCCGACATTGCATATCCCGTGAACAAATTATCACGCTACATGCATCGACCCACATCGGACCATTGGCAATCCGTCAAACATATACTAAGGTATCTTGCCGGAACGCGCTCCCTTGGTGTACTCTATCCTCGGACGAATCCCATATCATTACATGCTTACTCGGACGCGGATTGGGGAGGTGATCAGGATGACTTCAGTTCAACGGGAGCATACATTGTTTATTTGGGCAGCCATCCAATATCATGGTCTTCGAAGAAGCAAAAATTCGCAGCGAAGTCATCAACGGAAGCTGAATACAAATCGGTCTCGTCTACGGCCTCAGAGGTAGAATGGATCATGTCTCTCCTATCAGAACTACGAGTTCCTATCGCATCAACTCCGGTCATATATTGTGATAATGTGGGTGCCACATACTTATCGGCTAATCCTGTATTTCACTCGAGGATGAAATATGTGGCCATTGACTATCACTACATACGAGGTCTTGTGGAAGCCAAGAAGCTTCGTGTTGCCCACATTTCGGCGTCGGACCAACTTGCCGACACACTCACCAAACCTCTCTCGCGGCTCAAGTTCGACAATTTCCGACTCAAGATTGGACTCTACTCTCCGTCCATCTTGCGGGGGCATATTAAGGAGAATCAATTATAGATATCAAATCTGCTGCGATTGTAATCTTTCCATAACTGTTTCCTAAACTATAGCTAAGCCTTGCTGTATATATCCTCATGTAACAAGTGTAAAGCAATGCAATATTATTCAAACCCTCATATATATAACCAAATCCGAAATCCGACCCTATATATTTCGGGTTTGTATTGGATCATGTCGGGTCGATCCGACAACTCAAATTTATTAAGATTTTTTTTAAAAAAAAAATATCGGGCTTTTGATTCGATCCGAATCGGACCTCAAAACTCGATTTTTTCGGATCGAAAAATTTAGGCATGAAACCTGCTATTTTTCGGGTTTGGTCGGACCGGATTCCGGGTATCGAGATTTAACGGATACTCCTAATAATCTCGTGCGGGTGTGGAGAGTGCTTCCGTGAGAAGCATCGCCAATCTATTGCCGCTAAGAAAATGGTAAAAAGAAAAACATTTTGAAGTGTATTCTACAAATGTTTGAAAGTTGAAACAAGGGGGTATTAACAATTAACACACGTGCGCCTCTTTCTTTGTTTCAGGATAAAATATAAAAATGTAAACTGCAAACGTACATGGGGTGTGATTAGAACTGCCACTGCTTATCGACTCCATGGTTCACCATCCATCATCTAGAGACCCCACATACTTGGATTCACGTACTCACGCGTGTATGCGTATATCTCTACACACATTATACGTATGTCTACTCGCTTTGATTTCAGCCTGCGGAAATATGCCCTGTTCCCGAGTTCAGTCACAGTGGCTATAGGGTTCAGTCCTGCATTCTCGGCCATTTGATTCCTGTGATTTCTTCTTCGTCATGATGACCTCGCCGGTCTCCGTCGATATCATCTTGTCCATTCCCTTCCGCTTGTTGTCGACAAACAACTCGAGGTTGCGATTCCGCAGGTGCCGCCATTATTGATTACACCGAGGAGCTCGAGATCAGATCTTGATCCTCTGGAGACGAGGTCGATCACTCACCGTAACAGAGGAGAACCCCCAGAAGGTGATCAACGAGATGCCGTTTGGTTTCACAAACTTGTCCGGGTTTCTGGGATTGGGCCGATGGTCTCTACATTCCCAAAAAGCCCATTTATTAGCCCAATTATTTATCCGCCATGGCCGACCTTTGAGGGGGTTATCGCGGGTTGTGGCAACTGCGCAGCCTCAGAAAAACCTCGCCCCTTTCGTTAACTGAAATCGCCAGTCTCTGTTTCTGTCGCAGAAGAACAGAGACCAGGAAGAGGGCAGGGACCTAGGCCGAAAAGTCGAACTCTTTTCCGGCCTTCAGATGCTCCAGAGCTACTGACGTGGCGGTGAAGCTCGAGAAATGCCGTACTATTCGGTGATTTTTCGGGGATATATCAGAGCCACCGCCGCATCCGCCTCCGCTCCCGCAGGTGCTGCCTCCATGGCTATGCAACAATACCCTTTTCAGCTATGTCGGAACCCTAAATTCCTTTTAAAGCCCTCGTCTCCGGTGAGGTCCCTGCATTGGTTCCGGACTTCGGGGTTGGTCACGTGCCGCCGGAGTCGGAGGGCGAAGATCACGTGCCTGAGCGGCGGTGGCGGCCGTGCCTCGGAGGCCCCTCTGTTGGATTGGAGAACAGTCGTTTTGCCGTACCTGCAGAACCAGAGCTCTAACTATGGCCGGACTGCTTACTACGACTGCGTCTCGAGCGATGAGTCTGATACTGACGTCGGGTCGTCATCTCAGCAGAACCAAATGGTGATTTGGATTCTTTCCGTAGTTTAGATTCCTTTTTCCATTGAATTTGGTGATTGTTGTGTTTTCGAACACGTATCTTATTTGTTTAAATTTTGGTCGAAATTGATTCTTTTCCTGTTCTGATGGACCGAGAAATATAGCCTGTGTTTGGAATTGGTAAGAAACTGGTGAATTCCATCTGCCTTGGTGCTTATTTGTTGTACCTTTTTCATGTTATTTCAGGCAAATTCGACCCTTGATAACATTGATCAATGGAGGTTCAAACTTACCATGCTTCTCCGAAACAATGAAGAGCAAGAAGTTGTGTCAAGGGAGAGAAAGGACAGGCGCGATTTCGAGCATCTCTCAGCATTGGCCTCCAGAATGGGATTGCATAGGTATCCTCTCCTGTCTTTTGTTAGAATAAGCAGAGTTTTTAGTTTGAGTTTCTGTCTCTATTTTCAATCTTTAAAAACTGTTATTTCTCGTGTGCAGCCGTCAGTATTCAAAAGTTGTTGTTTTTAGTAAAACTCCTTTGCCCAATTATAGAGCTGATCTTGACGATAAGCGCCCGCAAAGAGAGGTATTTACTTGATCTTTAGTCAATTCTGTGTTAATTAGGTACTTCTTTATGTTATTGTTTGCACGGTTGGAAATATGTTAAATCATCGGACGTATTTTGCCCACGTGACACTTTGAATACTACAAAGCTGGTCACTTGTTTCTTTGGTGATATCACATGTCGAAGAGTCTTAAATATTTATGTAGTGCTTGTGCTTACATGTTTTGTTGTGTTACATTTGTTAACTTTCATGTTTGGTCGGACATAACAGGTGGTTTTGCCTTTTGGCCTACAAAGTGAAGTTGATGCCAATCTGCATGCTTTCCTCAATGAGAAACAAGCAAGGATTCCGAAGGTGCCAAGATCAAACAGTAGTGACAGTTTAACTGATGATGGAGTCTACGAGCAGCCTGAGCCCCCGAGGCAGAATAGCGTTGCCATGGAGAGGGTACTTCAAAGGAGGAGTTTGCAACTAAGGAGCAAGCAACAGGAATGGCTGGTTGGTTTTGAATGAAGTCCTGTCCCTTTGCATAACGGCCATTGTCGTATTCTTATGTGGGGATATGTTAATACGTATCAATTGCTTGGCAGGATTCTCCAGAAGGGCAGAAAATGCTAGAGTTTCGGAAAACCCTTCCTTCATACAAAGAGAAAGATGCACTACTGAAAGCCATTTCTGAAAACCAGGTTAATTGTAATTCCTCCTGTTTCAGTTCTCTGTAGCAACCATGTGAGAAATTCGAGTTTGATTGGTTTTCTGACTATCAGGCTTCCTGCACATTTATCTTTTGTCACACTCGTACATGTGCTTGCAGGTTATAGTTGTGTCTGGAGAAACTGGTTGTGGTAAAACCACACAACTTCCGCAGTACATTCTAGAGTCTGAGATCGAGGCTACCCGTGGAGCATCGTGCAGCATCATCTGTACCCAGCCTAGAAGAATATCTGCTATTTCTGTTTCCGAACGAGTTGCTGCAGAGCGAGGCGAGCAAATAGGAGAATCTGTAAGTTCTCTTTCTGGTTTCTTGCCCTTCGCAGTTGGGTTTGCTCTGTGAGTCAATTTGTCTATCAGGGAAAGATGGAAATCTTCAATAGATACATGTCAACAAAATGGAAAATATATAGCTGCTTTGGTGTCACATGCATTCTCCCCTTGTAAGGTTGGCTATAAAGTGCGGCTGGAAGGAATGAGAGGAAGAGACACCCGTCTTCTTTTTTGTACTACTGGTGTTTTACTCAGAAGGTTACTTGTCGATCGAAACCTGAAAGGTGTGACTCATGTTATAGTTGATGAGATCCATGAGCGTGGGATGAATGAAGGTAAAACTAGTACTGCTGAAGTTGTCAATCAGTCATTCCAGTAATGTATTCTCACATTCTGTTCTCATTTGTGTCAGATTTTCTTCTCATTGTCCTTAAAGAACTCCTTCCTCGTCGACCGGATCTGAGGTTGATTTTGATGAGCGCCACTTTGAATGCTGAGCTCTTTTCTTCTTATTTTGGTGGCGCTCCAACCATGCATATTCCGGTAAGTTCTCCATTTCCAGTTGTCTTGTTCTTGTTTTCATACATATTTTCTTTTCTCCATAACCAATGAGGTGTTTCTGATGGTTGTAAATGACGGTCCCTCTTACAAGCATTTTAATCTGTAGCTCTGTTCCGAGATCCTTTTAGTAACCTGAAGTTTCTGGAAGTGTCTTTAAAGGGATTACATTGTAGGACTTTCTAGGACAAACCATCTCTTTCGTTTTCTACTAAAATTTGTGAGTGCAACTTTCTGGTCAGGGTTTCACTTACCCTGTCCGGGCCCATTTCTTGGAGGACATACTTGAGACAACTGGATACAGGCTGACACAGTATAATCAAATTGATGACTACGGTCAAGAAAAGGGTTGGAAAATGCAAAAACAAGCTCTAGCTTTCAAAAAGAGGAAATCCCAGATTGCTTCTGCTGTTGAGGTACTGAAAGATTGTTATGTTACACCACCAACAAATTCATATTCTCTTGTTTTTTTTTTTTGGCTAAAACTGTCTTGTGAATTTGTGATCAGGATGCCCTTGAGAATGCTGACTTTAAAGGTTACAGCTTGCGCACCAGAGAGTCTCTATCATGCTGGAGTCCTGATTCATTGGGCTTTAACCTTATTGAGCATGTGCTTTGTCATATTGTCAAGAAAGAGAGACCTGGTGCTGTTTTGGTGTTCATGACTGGTTGGGATGATATTAATTCTTTGAAGGATCAGCTCCAAGCTCATCCTCTTCTGGGAGACCCCAGCAGAGTTTTGTTGCTTGCAAGTCATGGATCCATGGCCAGTTCTGAGCAGGTGATGTTGTTATTCATTGCCACCCTGTTCTATATATAACACAACAGTGAAAAGTTTTTAATCTTTGACGAAGTTTAAAGAGTTCTTGAGTTTACATATTTCTAATCTTTTTAGCACCTTTTGTTTATTATATTAGATTATCATTTTTTTTTGGTTTTTGTTTTCTGGTTCTAATCTTTTCTTTTCTGTTTTAACAGAGGTTGATCTTTGATAGACCTCCAGAAGGAGTTAGGAAAATAGTTCTGGCTACTAATATGGCTGAGACGAGTATCACCATCAATGATGTGGTATTTGTGGTTGATTGTGGAAAAGCAAAAGAGACATCCTATGATGCACTTAACAACACTCCTTGTTTGCTTCCGACGTGGATCTCAAAAGCAGCGGCTCGTCAAGTAAGAAAATAAATATGATAACTGTTGCTTAAGGTTTTGTTTTGTGAATGAGTATAGAAAATGCTTTGCCACCTTGGTTATTGGCCTTGAGTTGAACTAAGTTGATTGTACTTTCATTTTCTGCCTCTCTTTCAGAGAAAAGGAAGAGCTGGTCGCGTTATGCCTGGAGAATGTTATCACCTTTATCCTAGATGTGTTTATGATGCATTCGCTGATTACCAGCAACCAGAACTCCTAAGGACACCTTTGCAGTCTCTGTGTTTACAAATCAAAAGTTTACGACTTGGAAGCATTTCAGACTTCCTTTCCCGGGCATTGCAACCTCCTGAACCTTTATCGGTAATCTTTATCAAACACCATTATCTCTGTACAACCTAATAGCTATGGTTTTATACCCACTTGTTCTCCTTTACCTTATGCATCACATGATGATCATGTTGTTTTGTAGGTCCAAAACGCTGTGGAATATCTGAAGATCATTGGTGCTCTTGATGAGAATGAAAATTTGTCGGTTTTAGGTGTGTGGGGCGCTCTGTCTCACCCGGGGCTTATAAAGTGCTGGATTGATATTATTTTGAGAACACTTATAAAGTGCTGGATTCATATTTTTCCCCTGTTGTCTGCGCAGGAAAGAAATTGTCACTGCTTCCAGTGGAGCCTAAACTTGGGAAGATGCTTATTTTAGGGGCTATCTTCAGCTGTCTCGACCCCATAATGACTGTTGTTACTGGTCTTAGTGTTAGAGACCCGTTCCTTATGCCATTTGACAAAAAGGATGTAAGTTAGTGGTGGATTGTTCACACATCCCTTTTTCATTTTTACATATTGTTTGACACTTGAAATCTGCTTTCAAGTAGCCTTTGGATTGCCAAGAACTGTCTTTTAACATTCGTCAATTTATTACATCACAGCTAGCAGAATCATCAAAATCCCAGTTCGCTGCCCGGGATTACAGCGACCACATGGCCCTGGCTCGAGCGTACAATGGCTGGAAAGAAGCTGAAAAAGAACAATCTGGTTATGAGTATTGCTGGAAGAATTTTCTCTCTTTCCAAACTCTGAAGGCCATGGACTCCATGAGGAGGCAATTTTTCTTTCTCCTGAAGGATGCTTCTCTAATTGATAATGTGGAAGATTGCAATAAGCTGAGCCATGATGACCATCTTGTCCGGGCCATAATCTGCGCAGGCTTATACCCTGGAATATGTTCTGTTGTGGTGAGACATATCTTTAGTCGGTTTACCCCTGAAATCTTATGATTTGGATTTCTGTATTTTTTTCCTTTTCCTGCTTGGATTTAATCTTTCTCACTTATTTTTGCCAAGCAAAAGTGAAAAGCAGAGCAGTTCCCTTCGTGAAGTGTTTCTTTTGCCACAAATATTGTAGTTCACTCATGTTTAAACTATTTTTTCCTGCAGAATAAGGATAAGTCAATTGCACTTAAGACAATGGAGGATGGGCAGGTGCTTCTGTACTCGGTAAGTTTTATCATTTGAATGTGCCACTCTTCATAAATTCAGAAATCCTCTCCAGAACCTTCTGGGCAGAACATCTTTGACTGCCAATTCTGGAACCTTCATCATATCCTGAGATCGAGTATATCTGTCGTGCAGAATTCTGTGAATGCCAATGTACCAAAGATTCCATACCCATGGCTAGTCTTCAATGAAAAAGTGAAAGTTAACTCAGTTTTCCTCCGAGATTCCACTGCTGTATCTGACTCGATTCTTCTTTTGTTTGGAGGAAAGATATCTTCTGGTGGATTGGCAAGTCCTATTCCTTCCTATGTTTCATTGCCATTCTTGTTCTCTATTATTTTGGTTTTTTTATTTACATGGAATAACTGGTATGTTTCAATAGGACGGACATCTTAAAATGCTCGGAGGATATCTCGAGTTTTTCATGAAACCTTCCCTGGCAGATACATACATAGGGTTGAAAGGAGAGCTTGACGAACTTATTCACAATAAGGTAAATTTGAAGCTTGAAATGTTCACAAACGGGTCTGCTCTTCTTCTAGAGTCCAAAATAAAAGACTCATTTGGCAGCCTTTTACTCATTGATGATATTTTTGTTATTTGGTCTTTCCACAGCTTCTGAATCCCAAACTTGATATCCAACTGTACAATGAGCTCATATCAGCTATGAGATTGCTTGTGTCTGAGGACCAGTGTGAGGGCAGGTTTGTGTTCGGCCGCACATCAGTGGCCCCCACGAAAAAGAAGCTTAAAGACTTGAGCAGTCACGGAGGAGGCGATGGTGGGGACAACTTCAAGAACCATCTTCAGACATTGCTGGCCCGTTCAGGACATGGAGCACCTGTGTACAAGACAAGACCGCTGAAGAACAACCAGTTTCGAGCTATGGTTTCTTTCAACGGGTTGGATTTCGCTGGGAAGCCATGTGGTAGCAAGAAACTCGCAGAGAAGGACGCAGCTCATGAGGCTTTGCTTTGGTTACAAGGAGAGACCAACTCGAGTCTGGGTGATCTTAACCACATGTCAATGCTCTTGAAGAAGAACAGAGGTAAAAGGCCTCGGAGTGCATCATCTCAATGGGGGTGGGGTTAGGGTTAGGGTTAGGGTTCATCCATGAATCCATGCCATAGGACTGCGGAAGAAGTTCAAGAGGGTCTAAATTAGACCAGCACTAACCGAAGGGAAATGTTTTGCTTGATGGGTTTGTGATGGAAGCTGGCTCGGCGGCATTGATCACTCCAAAATAACTGTTGAAGAAGTTATAGACTCGCAGATTGAGATCGGAACCGTTGGTTCTATGGCAGATTCAAGAACCAAACTACGAGGTCTTTAGGTTCGTAGTGATTATACAGATGCTCTGTGACCCTTGTGGACGAGGGTTGTCAAAAACTGTTCTGTGACCCTTGTCTGGTTTTTTTGGTTGTCTTTGATGTTATATGCTGACTTGGGTTTTTCTTGTAAAATCTAGAACGGCTTTATACGTGTTATGTATGCATAACGTTTGTATGTATTCTATTTCTCATGGCATGTGCGATACGAAAATTTCCCTGTTTTCCATCGAAAGGCATGTCATAGAATAATCCAAAAAATATAGGGATTATAGGGACGATGATGATGATATTACTTGCATTGAAGCTATATGTGTTTCAACCCATATCCTTGTATATCATTTTTCGTATGACCAATATGATCATCGTGATTTATTACCGTTAAAATTATATGATGACCACATTACATGACCAATGTGATCAGAAGATGATAGTGTTGTGATCAGAATATGATGTTTACATTGATCACAAAAAATTAGATTAAAAAAGGTATGTTCTAAAGTCTATATAGTAAAGTAAGATTAGTTTTGATATTATGTGAAGAAGCTCGAGAGTTTTAACAAGAACCGATCCAAATCAGCACTTGCCTTCTGTGCCATGTTAAGAGCCAAAATGCAACTTCTGTATTTTTATCAATATTGGTTATTCAATATGAATAAATTTTAAAAGAAAAAAAAAACAGAAAAGTAGGTGTAAAACCGGCGGAGATTTCGGACCGGGTTTGATTCAGACTTGAAACATTTGGACCCGATAAAACTTCGTACCTATATTGGAGGTCTAAAACACGGCCCTATAGAATTTCGGGGGAATTCGAATCGAGTTTCAAACTTTTTTGTTTAATAATAATTTTTTTCATAATTGCAACGCAATTACAAAAAATAATATAATAAACGTTTACATATAAAAATTTCAACAAAAATATCCCTAAAATAAAAATATCAAAATAACTAATTAAAAAACATCATATCTACAAATCTTAAAATCATGTAAAATATTACAAACACTACAATTAAAATATAATAATAAAATAAAATCGTAAATTAAAAAAACTTGCATCGATATATACATAATTGTCCGACCAAACTGGGCCGTGTATAACAGTGAAATAGAGCCCACAACACAATGCCGTGCGTGATGATGATGAATTTTTTTTTAAAAAAAAAAAAAACCAGGAATGACTTGTATTGAAAAAGCCTATATTTTGGGGAAAACAATGTGAAAACCAATAACAGAGGTGTGACCCTTTTGTCAAATAGTTCAGTAATCCAAACAATGTCATTAACTAACAACAAACACCCTACTCTCCTTTCACTTTGATGCTAAGATCCCAACCAAAAAGAGAGAGAACAGAGAGGGGCATTATTTTTGCATCTGAGGACACTAAAAAGACTATTGCGGCATACTTGCGTATAAGAGAGTGAAAAAGAGCTGAACTTCAGGCAGATCCCGGATGAGTTGTAAGAACCGGTTCTTGCCCGGTTCTGCTGTAACAACCGGTATCGTCATCTCAATCCTCGGTAGGAGTTTCGCCAATGGCATCCCCCCCGTTCCCAGACTGCCCTCAGTTCCCATCTCCTCTACCAATGCTGCGGTGAACGTCTTCAGGGATATCTCTGCTATGTTGGTGAATTCGGTGCTGCAAGAAGAAAGAGACCATAGACATTGGTGGGTTCTTTATTTTGCTTTGTAAAATCAAACTATGAAAACATTGAAGGAAGATGAAACTTTGGTCAGTAGACTCAGAACTCACCCAAGTGTGTAAAGAAGAGGAAGAGTCATATCGTGGAAAAAGGTGCAGAGACGTTACCTGGTGAGCACTTCTCGGGTTTCAACCATGAGTTGATCGAACTTGGCCACTGTTACATTGGAAGGAGAAACTTTGGTGAGATTGTCTGAAGAGTTTGAGTCGATTCTTGAGGGTCTTGTCTCTTGGGGTATCATCAGGTAATCCACCCAGTGATGGGGACTTCCAGTGCTCATGAACACATCCAAAATCTGCATCACTGTCTCTTGAAGAACGCTGGTTGTGAAAACATCCTTCAACTGCTTTCTGCACATAAGCATACGGGCTGTTCAAGAAAACATCAAACAAATTTCCATTTACTGCAACAGATACCTGCAGCATACCAAAGAGTCTACTTGTTGCAGCTTGTTGGCTCTTACTTTTAGCTTAAGATTAATGACACAAATTACATTTTTGCTACCAAGTTGATAAACACAAAGCTCGAAGTTCCTGGCTGCAGGGACTAGACCCTTGAGAAACTAAAAAAATGGTTTCTAAACAAAGTCAATTGTTCTTAAATCTTTTGTAAATCATTTAAAATTTTAAGATCCTTTCTAGTTAAAATATCACATTTTAATATTTTAGGAGGTAGAGCCCAAAAACCAAAGAAATGTAAGCGTTATGGACTTTCATTTTTCTTTTGATAAGAAAAAAATGGCAAACAAAAAGCAAAAAGGAGCAATTTAGGTGTTTGCAATGTTATGGGAACCAGGTGGAGTCAACGCCTGTAATGCTGCAACAAATCAAAGCTTAAACCCCATATCGGAACATCGATGGACCCTTTATTTGGAAAGGATAGGATGTGAAAACGAAATACTAACCAGTACAGTCAAAGTGTAATGACCTACAAGACATGTGCTAGTAAGGCCAACACACCTTTAGTCAATGGTAAGGAGGAAAAGGTGCGAGATATCTTCAGCAGTACACTCGAAACTTACCCCTTGAGAACTTCTATGACTGCCCCCTGAATATTAGAAATCAAACCAGGCATGCCACGGGTAGCAAGGAAATCAGCACTTGAAAGGAATTTTTGTTCGTCATCTCTGTCGATGAGATCTAAGTCTTCCTGCAAAAAATTTAGCAGCAAAAATGTTCTGAGAGATCACGAGTTAGGGAGCGGTTTCAATAATTCAACCAACACAGTAGGAATCAGAACAGAACTAACATGACTTTCTGAAGCGAAAAACTTTTTCTGTTTGAAAGGCGCAAAACATAGGATATATCACCCCACAAATATTAATCCAGATTGGCCATGACTCAAAATTAATGAAATTTGGAAATCCCCGTGGTAGTGCATTCATAAGAAACTTTCATCATACCATAGCTGCTAAGAAAATATTCATACGCTTGCGATAATAGTGTACAACTTTCAGCGAAATGAAGAAAGAATTAGCTTGAAACGGTTCGTCGGGCATGAGCAAGGAAAATTATATTCTCTCACGTTTAGACACGCAAATGGAAGAAGCCGAGAACAGTGCAGTGGTATATAATAATGGTTCATCAGGCATTAAACTGTCTTACAAGTAGATGTGAGCTGCCCAGATCTCTAGCGGTGTCAATATACAAATGTCTGCCCAAAATGTTGACTTGAACCCTAATGTACAAGCTTAGCATTGTGACTGACCACAGGGACAAAACCATCCTAGTGAAGCCTGGAGGAAAAAAATATGAAGAGAAAACCTCCGATGAGAATCTCCAATTCGAAACAGATATATAGAGGAACAGAGGAAGAATGAGAAGCATACTTAAAATTTTGAGTTTATCCCAAAGCTGAAGCTTCTCAGATGGACTCAACGTTCCTTTTCCCTTATTGAGGCTCTCCATAATGATAGAAACATCGATCTCATTCATTATACGACCGCTCAAATATTGCATTGCATGAGGCAGTGTCGTAGCATCGGCGATCATCTGAATGTTCTCGAAATGGGCTTTCATTCTAAAGGATCATCACCGGAAAACAAAACGAAGAGCTACTGAGAAACCTAGATTTTGCACAAGAAATGCGATGAATTCAGAAAGCCCCAGAGGCATTTTCCTCGGTTAGTGTTCAGACTTAACTGGGTTTTGATGAGTTCTTCATTCTCACGCTCGATGGCGAGCTCTCGTTCCAAGTCTGCGAGCCTACGAGTGTGGGCATGGTATAGTTTGTAGAGCAAATACCCACTTCCCACGCAACCCGCCGTCACGAAAATCTTCCTCCTATGGTTCCTCCAGAAATCCCTAATTTTCCACAGAGAAGAAAAAACTAATTTCCCAGTCGCAAACACAAGCAAAACCCCACAAAATCTGTAGCCAGCGGAGCCTGAAACTGAAATTCCGAAGGACGAACTAAAAGAACAAACCTGACGAAACCCATGGACTTTGAAGCTACTGAAGTGGAATCCAGGAATCCATTTCCGAGGAATCACGCCAAAAACCCTTCAACCGGAATGAATTCAGACAGCGAGTCGAAGATTACTCCAAGATACACACACGCAGATAGAAAGATGAAGTTTCTCTCGTCTTGTTAGCTCTTTTCCGGCGATAAAGAGAGAGGAATTCCGACGAGAGAGATGGCTTTTGGCTTGTGATCGCTCCGATGGGTAAAGAGAAGAGAAGAGAAAAAGAGAGAGTTATCACCACAAACCCTTTTTGAAACATTGAATTGTAAACCGAATCTCCATCCCTCAGTATTTCAACAGGCATCAATCGACGAAAAATTAATCCTATTTCTAAAGATGAAGGTAACGAAATTAGAATATTTTTATGGAAATTATAAAGTATGTATATATATATATATATTTTAAATGGAAATTAAGGAAAGGCCGGTGGTTGCTTTGAACTAATTTTCTTATATCATTTTGGTTTTTATATATATAATTAATGTAAATGTTAAGGATTGGCAACTAAACCACAATTATTCATAAAAAAAAATAAGCAGATTAAATTTGGAATACTTCTAATTTCGTCATGATTAAGTAAACTAAAGACAACATCACGACTTAATTGGTCTCTAAAACCATAATTAGCTCGTGTATCAGCTGCTGATATGATAGAAAATAACATTTAACATAATAATGGACCGTCAATAATTGATAATCGAATGTAATATGGGCCTATTTCCAGGGACAATTTAATTTATTTAACGAACGCAGATCCTGTTGCTTCATGTTATAAGGCCCATACGGAGCCCATAAACTCGGCCCAAATGAAGCCCTTGATTCCGAAACTGACACCACACAAAGACCTAGTTCCTTCAGCCGAATATAAATAGCGTCGTTCATTTGCTTGTTGCTGCCTCCTCTGGACGAAGAAGAAGAAGACTGAGTTTTCTCTACGCAAACCCTAACAATGGCCGAGGGACTCGTGTTGAAGGGCACCATGCGCGCCCACGCCGATGCTGTTACTGCCATCGCCACTCCCGTCGACAATGCCGACTTCATCGTCTCCTCTTCCCGGGACAAGTCCATCGTCCTCTGGAAACTTACCAAGGAAGACAAGTCCTATGGCGTTCCTCAGCGGAGACTCACCGGTCACTCTCACTTTGTTCAGGATGTCGCCTTATCCTCCGACGGTCAGTTTGCTCTCTCCGGAAGCTGGGACGGCGAGCTCCGTCTCTGGGACCTCGCCACCGGCGTCTCCAGCCGCAGATTCGTCGGTCACACCAAGGATGTTCTCTCCGTCGCGTTCTCCGTTGATAACCGTCAGATCGTGTCGGCGTCTCGTGACCGTACGATCAAGCTGTGGAACACGCTCGGCGAGTGCAAGTACACTATCTCCGATCAATCTGAAGGTCACAGGGAATGGGTGAGCTGTGTGAGGTTTAGCCCCAACACCCTTGTGCCGACCATTGTCTCGGCCTCATGGGATCACACCGTGAAGGTGTGGAATCTCCAGAACTGCAAGCTGAGGAACACGCTCGTAGGTCACTCGGGCTATCTGAACACGGTGGCGGTGTCACCGGACGGTTCTCTCTGCGCAAGTGGCGGGAAAGACGGCATGATCTTGCTGTGGGACTTGGCGGAGGGGAAGAAGCTGTACTCCCTCGACGCGGGTGATGTGATCCACTCGCTCTGCTTCAGCCCCAACAGGTACTGGCTGTGCGCTGCGACCGAGCAGAGTATCAAGATATGGGATCTGGAGAGCAAGAGCGTTGTTGAGGACTTGAAGGTTGATCTCAAGGCCGAGGCAGAGAAGTCTGATGGCGACACTGGAGCCGCTAACAAGCAGAAGGTATGTCTTTTCTTCATAGAGTTAATGTATTGTTTTCGTCTGGGTTTTCAATGGGAATCGTTGATCTGCCGATGGAAATTTCCTTGCTGCGTTGACCATTATGGTGGTGAAATGTTTGATTCCTTGTTTATTATCTCTCAATCATACTGGACGAAGAGTAACACTGAACATTCTTAGACTGACATTGCCTGGATGCTCTGCAAAATTTGATTGTATTATGGACCCTTGATTCTCATAATGACAACGTTGGTGGGTTAGGAATGTTGCATATTTCAGATTCTGGGTTTTGTGTGAATGTGTTTTAAGGAAGAGAGGTATGGATAGATAGATGTGTAAGAGGAGGATAAGGGTAGATTTGGATTCAAGTGGTGAGGGGCTAATGGTGGGGAAATGCAGGTGATATACTGCACGAGCTTGAACTGGAGTGCAGATGGAAACACATTGTTCAGCGGTTACTCTGATGGAATCATCAGAGTCTGGGGTATCGGCCGTTTCTAGATGATGATGCCATGAAGAAGAAGAAGTTGCTGTCTTTGTCCATTGATGATGATTGTTAGCGGACATGCCAAAAAAAATACAGAACAAAAGCCGTTTCCTTTCATTTCTCTCGTATAATTGTTTTATATGCCTTGGAACCTCTGTTTTTTTTAGATCGCTCTCTTTTTATGCCCTTCCCTGTTCATCTTTTGGTCACGTGACATTCGTAACAGCATTTTGTCTTTATTTTGATGGCACTGACTTACCATCCTGTCCTGTGATGGATTCAAATTCTTTCACTTGAAGATCAAAACCTAAATAAATTTTACTAATTTTATCTATCATTGATCAATTTGGTATTTTACTTATTGTTATATTTTCCATCTTGTGTATCGTCACGGTTCGTATTTATCCGGTAACGAGTATGATATGCATATATATTCCAAAGAAAACTACTTCGCACTTCTAGATATTATGATTTCTAGTTATATATCTTACAATAGAGGTTCGAATGATGAATAATTGTTATTATCGAATTATCGAAAATTATATCCACCGACTAAAATCAGAATATATAAAGGTAATGTAAAAATGGTTAGGCCGGAAAATAAAAACAGTCAGAAACTCAAACAAAATCAGTAAACAATCAGGATATCCACCTTATAATATGTTTTGAATACAATTATGAGGTCAACAAATTTATACAAATTTTAAAAAATATAATTCCTACCTATCTCATCTTTGAAAAATAAATAAATATTAAAGTACAAACATATCAAAAAATTACGAGTATCGATTTTTTTTTTCGCGTAAAAAAAAATTAAAATTTAGAGAAACGGCGAAGGTAAAGTTGTATCAAAGAGGATATCCTTAAATGAATGAAAAACTAGAAATTTTTATGTGTATATATTGTCACCCAAAAAATTACCCATTTTTTCTCGTGACAGTATAGTGGCTGTGGTTGCAAAGGCTGTCTTCCATTTCAGCCAACTAAAACTCATCACAACATCATCTGCTTCAGCTTCTTGACTCAGCTATCCACAAAGACACTGCCCTTTGCATTTTATGCAAAGATCCCAAGAGACCTCTCACAGAGACCAAAGCGCTGCCAACAGACAATCAGATCAGCCTGTGAGAATATTTATTACCATATCCATAGACAGATGGATAGATACCCCAGCACATGTCCTGAAAGCTTTGGAGGGGGAGGGTCAGTCTCGGGTTCGGCTCTTAAGTAGTGAAAGTGTTAGCCTCGTTTTAACCACGAGCTCAGCCACCTTTCTTTCTTTCTTTCTTTAGACCCTTCACTGTGGTCGAGAGAGAGAAGTAGACTTGACATCAGCAACCCTACCCACCACCACCACCACCAGCCACAGAATCTTTTACTATTTTGTCTCCCGACCAGACCAGTGTCATGAGTGCTTGTAGTCCTTCTCTTTCACTAGATTTTTAAGTGGACGTCTTCATCTCTTATAACAGCTCACTCTTTACATTGACTCGGCGTCTATGTCATAGTGTGTTCCTGAACAACTTCTGCCTCTTTGTGTTCGCTTCCTCTTCTACTTCTTCCTCGGTTTTTCAAAGACTGGTTTGTCACTGCCTTCCTTTTGGGTTTTGGATTATTAATTTCGCACACATTTTCTTCTTCAAGTCCAGACAACTCAGAAGAACATCCCTCTTGGCCTTTCCCACACCTCCTTGATCGGCTCTTCTTAGCAGCACTGATTATTCAGACACACCAAGATAAACGATAATAAGACAAATAAAAAACAGAATGAAAGAAAGTTAATGGGGTTGGAGTTCCATCCAAGAATCACATAAAACATTGAAGACAACATACCAAGACGCCTCATTTGCTTTACCTTCGATTCCAGGCTTCTTTCTGCTTAGCAAAAAAAGATGAATCAGATCAAAGGCAGCCGGCACAAAAAAAAATAGAATAAGGACAAACACCGAGGAAGTATGGTACTCACTTTACTGTGCGTTTACGTTTCTTTGTTGAGGCCACGATTTCAGATTCAGGGTCAGGTTCAAGTAAAGGGGATATCATAGGTAGTGCCACCAAATCACCAACCCCAAGAGCAGGACGCTCTGATTCCCGATCAACAAAGTTTCCTACAATAGCTTCCCTCCGCAACCTTCTGGCTTCTTGTATAAGAGGGACTTGGTGGGGATATAATGCCTTCCATCTCCTGTTCATAAAATGTGAAAAAGTATGTTTCAATGTGAAGCGTATCTAGAGAACGTGTACAAGAAACCAAATAAATATGCATGAATGTATATACATAGATATATATACACACACACACATATACACAGGAGATAATTGTCAGACTGCTAAGATCCTATACATCATACCTCCAGCACTGATTATCAGTGCGAGAAGGCAGACGGGTAGCAATTCTAGACCAGCTATGTCCAAGGTCTGCGACTGCGGCTCTCAACTCTGCATCCTCTACTTCAGTCCATGGACTGCGATTCACATTAGGATCTAAAGAATTCACCCATCTGAAAAACAGAGAGAGAGAATCAACATCAACCCCAAAAATCAAATATCCTACAACGAGTTTGATCCCTCAGAATTTTATTTACCTCTCTCGACACTGAGGTGGAGTCCGACCAGGAACATACTGAGCAATTTTGTGCCAATTTTTTGCTCCAAAGAATTTCACAGCTACTTTCAGACGTTTGTCTTCCTCAGAGCTCCATCTGCCTACCCTTTGTCTTTTAGGGTGCAACGATTTCTTCCATCTGAATTTTAACGACATAATGAGTCCAAGATAACAAGGAAAACAAAATTACTTAATACCAGCCATAACAATTGCACTTTATCCAAATCCTACAGTTAGAACTTATACAGGATATAGATCCATATCAAGTTACTGATTTTGAGAATTTTCAAATCTTATCACAGAGCTAACTGCTAGATTGCTTCTGTACAAAATGGCGGGCAGCTTTCTAAAGAGAATACGTCCCCCATTCACATAGTATGCATGGTGATTGACGTTGACTGACCTATTAGAGCATTGGGGTCCAGTTCTTCCTTTTAATACAGACGCAACTGCTTGCCAATCTTTCTCACCATAAACTTCTACTGCAGCACGGAGTTGGTCATCGTCCTCTTCAGTCCACACTCTCTCCAATATGGAGGCATTTAAGCTCCTCTGATATCGAGCCAAACATTGAAATGGAGTCCTGCTTGTTCCCAGCAATTCCGCAATACAAAGCCAGTCCTTGATACCCTTTTCCTGAATAATCAACAGTAGATTTTTGTCCTCTTCGGCAGTCCATGCACTGCGGTTGATCAAGGGATCTTCCCAGTTCATCCACCTGTAATTTGATTTGATGAGATAAATAGAGAAAATTTACAGAACTATAGGTGGTTAATATGGGCATCCATCGATTCCTTGAAGGTTTAGTCTCTAACAATTCTCAATCTTGCAATTAATGATGTTTACCGGGCTTCACATTCTGCTCCAGAACGATGCTTGACATATCTTGACGCCAACAGATCCCAATTTACCTCGGGTAGGAACTGCCTGATCATTTCGGGTGGGATTTCAAGATCTCGGATTGTCTGAACAATGGTGTCCGCGTCATTCGTAGATCCCTCGCTATCAATGAAGTGATGTTACGACAACATTTGGGAACGTTAGACAAGAGAAAAAGAGGCATCTTAATAATGCATGATACGAATGAACACAACACGTCAAAATGAGGATACACAAGTGTATTAACGTTCTTAAGGGAGTACCTGGAACGATCAATTGCATCTGAAAGGAGTCTATCTTGAATTTGTTGTCTTAAACCCTTTCCAAGGTTTTCAATCTCTGCTGCAGACCAACATCTGCGGTCAACCGACAGAGGATATTTAGCCATTGCCATCTGATAGTTTGCCACACGAGGATTTTCTGGAGGACCAAACAGCAAAGGGGATGCCTTTTTACCATTACCCTAGAAAGAAACAATGAGAGGGAACAAAAAAAGAAAATATTTCTTATTATGCAACAGAGAAGCAGCAGCAGCAGCACGAATTTGTAAACCATTTGAAAAATAAAAGGTGGGATAAAGAATTCAAAATATATTACCTCTGAACTGTCAGAAGGCCCTGACTTTCGTGTTGATAATAGTTGGATACGATAATCCATTTTCTGAGATAATGCCTGTCCGGCTATTTTCTTGCAATAGGCTTGACAATCTTTAAAAATTTTAACTTTTTCCATGAGTTTTTTGTTCTGCTCAATCGTTGCTTCAATTTTGGTCAATTTTTCTTGAAGCAATCTCTGGTACGACCTGTTCTTCTTTATTGCATAAAACAAAGCATGCGCAAATTCAGGTAAGCTCGAGCCCCCAGCTTGCAGAAGGGATGATCCATGTGTACCGGGCTGATCAAGAGGCTCAGCAACAGCTTTTTCATTTGCATCAAGAAAATCGCTACCAGTATTTATTGCCTCAGAATTCAGGACTGTGTGGCATGGCTGCTGATGATCTGGAAAGCTATCACAAGTATTAGATCTACCCAATATTTCACTCGAAGTTTCATTGCCTGAGGCGGTACCAGATGCATGTACCTGCTGTTTCTTCCCTGAAAGATCATCCATGAAATTTCCCCCCACACCTGGAAAGGAAATAGAGAAATTTTTAGCAGTAGAACATGCAATATCTTAAGAAGGCAATAGACATATTATTTATGCCTACAAGTTTCAAACCAACAACCACATAAAAAATGCAACAAGCACTCCTCAAACGTCCCATGTACCCACCGTGCATTACATGACATTATAAGACAGTCTGCCAAATGATGTCTTGGAAGTTATGTCAGAAATCAAACATAAATAGGATAAGAAGAAAGCCTCAATCAGTTGCCCTATTAGCACAGAGCCGGTATCTACCCAAAAGGAACATTGAGCCGAGAATTTGTGTAATCAAATCAAACGCATCCAAAAGTTGGGAACCTTAGCACTCGAGACAAGCTCCGAAATTGAGTCTTCCTAGTCTCCCTCATGAAGTAATACTCACTTTCATACGACAAAACTAAACTGATCAGACCAGGAGCAAGCTTATCTTCCAACAATTGAAGCTTCCTATCATGAGAACCAAAAGTTGACTATTCCCAATTTGCCAGGCATACAGATAAACAATAGCTTACTATGCCCAAGGGCCATGATCAAATTTTCCCTAGACATTAAAAGAGAAAGAATCAACGGACAACATATAAAGAAACAAACAAGCAGCAGGAATCAAGTGGTGCTCACCGGAAATTTCATAAGCAGAGAATTGCTTACGAATAGCGCGTAGGGTTTCCAAGGCTTCTTCTTCGTTGTCATCATCGTCATCGAAAAACCCATCCGGCGGCAGAACAGCGAGCGGCTCCAGCGCCTCGCATACATCCAATGACAAGGCGAACTGGTTCCTAATGCTGCGAAGCATCTCGAGGTCGTCTTCGCTGTCGGAATCCGAGGCAACCCTACCCACCCCACCGCCGCCGGTGTTCGCCGCAGCAGAACCGCACTGATTCTCCCCGCCTCCTCCTTCGCTGCCGAAACCATCGGTCGGTGGGATAATCTCGTCGGGATTTGCGCCGGCGATTATACAGGCGCGCCTTATGGATTCGATGTCTTCATCGATACCGTCGTCTTCGTTGTCTTCGTCATCGTCTTCGCCGTAGTATTCGACATCATTGTCTTTCCCTCCGTACAGGCTATGTCGAGCCATCCTGCCGTACTGAAGGTCTCTGCGGTAGAAATCGGATCTATTTCGAACAAAACGGAACAACGAAGAGAAGCTATATATACAGCTCCTGCGCTCTCCGAGAGAGGGAGGGACATCTCTCAACATATGGCGCCATGGCGGTATAATAAACGGGTCAGGTCAATCGGGTGGGATCCAATCCAATTACCAAACATTTTTCATTTGCAAATGGGCCTGGGCCCATAACTGTATTATTCCAATACTTGGGCCTTTTATAATTGGACTTAGGCCCATAACTGGTAGGGGATGTTCGTTTGTAACATTGAATGTGTTGCTTGCTTCTTGTCGTTTTCTTGCAACTTCCGTAAGCATGGGATGCAAATGTCATAAAATTCTTGTACTAACCTTACATGAATCTCTGTCTAAAATTTACCAAATTATTGTGGCTTTTTTCTCTAAATTTTCAAGAAACCGAATATTTCAATTTGGCATGGAAATATTCCAATTTGGAAGTTTTTAATTTTAACTTTTATGGAGTTTAATAACAAATTCAGAAATTTAAAATAAATAATGATAATGGAATGATGAGAGAGAGAAAATCAGTAAAGAAACACAAAACTCAAAATTACAATGGCAAAAAGGTATGACACATCATCGATCCGCGTCGAAGATGAGAAACTAATCACATTTTCAACGGTCAGATTTTCAGCACATCCCTTCTTCCGTTGCATCTCTCTTATCCCAACTTACTTTCTAAAAATTAAAAGATCAAAAAAATAAAAGAAAAAAATCTCACCATCCTCTGTTTCTCTCTCTAAAAAACAACATGGATCCCTCTCTCTCTTTATCTAGTGATCCCCAGCACCATCCTCCTCCTCAGTTCGCCGGATTTCCCTTCGCCCCCTTCGCCGCCGGTGGAATCGCCGCCTCTCAGAGTCACCCCTTCTTTTCTGGCGCCGTCAATCCTGCCTCCGTCGCCGCAAGCAACAATCATGTATTTCAAGCTCCACCGCTGTCTCAACCTCCGCCGACGAATGCTCCGCCTCCGGCTCCACAATCGGAAACTTCGGCTCCTACGCATCCTTCTTTCAGCCACCCTCCTTACTCTGACGTAAGCTCATGTAGCTTCGTTACTGTAGTTTTTGGATCGGTTAGGGTTTCTTTGTCTGTATTTGGGTAGTGAAATTTACGGCTTTCTGTTGTGTTTGAGCAGATGATATGCTCAGCAATTGCAGCGTTAAACGAGTCTGATGGGTCGAGCAAACAGGCGATTTCGAGGTACATCGAGCGAGTGTTCACGGGCTTACCTTTGGCTCATGGTGCCTTGTTGACTCACCATCTGAAGACTCTGAAAAACAGCGGTATCCTTGTTATGGTAAAGAAATCCTACAAGTTTGCGTCCACCCCTCCACCGACGAGTATCGCCGTCGCAGCCGCTGCTGGTCTCGAAGATTTCAGATCTGATCCCCCCAGTTACACCACCACCGCCCAGCCTCAGTCCGACCAGACCGGTCTGCCAGCGGCAGCGTCTGCTCCGACTGCTCAGAAGCGCGGGCGCGGTCGACCTCCGAAGCCCAAACCCGATATTCAACCCAGTGAGGCTCCTGTTCAGCTCAACGGTCAGCCCCATATCAACTGGGAACAAAACAATACGTCTGTCTCCGGACCCGCCGAAGAGGTCCAGCCGGCCAGGAGACCACCGGGTCGTCCTCCCGGGCCGTCCTAGAAAGAATGGCCCTGCGGCACCGGCGCCGGCGCCGGCGCCTGATTTTGCTGCGGCTGGGATCACAAAACGAAGAGGAAGGCCGCCGGGTCGGAGGGCTGCGGGAGGGCTGAGGAAGCCTAAATCTGTGGCGGCGCCAGCAACCGTGTTTGCTTACGTGGCGAACGGTGCCAAACGCCGAGGTAGGCCGAAGAGGGTTAACACTGGCGTCGCCGTTGCTCCATTTAACACAGAAGGTGGAGAGGCGGCGGCGGTGATTTTGCCGGCGAAGAGAAGGGGACGGCCACCGAAGATCGGCGGTGTTATTCGCAAGCCTGTGAAGCCCAAGAGAGGCGTATCTCGTACAGGAAGACCCGTCGGCAGACCCAGAAAGGTATTCCACGTCTCTTCCGCTTCATCGAACTCTGTATTGGCCACACTTGAGTCTGCTCGGAGATAGTTTCCTGACATAGACTGTTGAGTGTTTGACATTTTACGAATCTGCTGATATGGGACAGAAAAAGTTCAAAAGTTGGTGGGATTTCTTGCGTTGTCACTTTGTGCTTAAAAAATGTGTTTGTTGTCTGAACAGTCCGTAGAGTTTAAATAGATTCTTCATGTGTACGGGCTTATCTTTACCTTTATTTTTTTAATAGCCTTTGTTGGATAATTAAGAGCAAGTGGTCGGCGGCTGGCTTTGTTTGGTACACAGTAATATTTCCATTGCAATCGCCTTCATAGAGGGTCATTGTTGGATAACTTGTCATCGAAACAAGTATGAGTATTTCGTTGTCATGGTCAGATGCGTGTATATCTGTTTTTCTTCTTCGCGTGGTGCTGGAAATTTGATTGATTTTATGAATCTTTCTCTCTTGCTGAAAGCTGTCGAGTCTTACATAATTTTGTTTTGTGAGCCATTGTATTTGCCTTAATGTTCTTGCCGATTATTATTGAACATAGGATGCGCAATGGGCAACAGGAGGTGGTTATGGGCAACAAGATGCTGGCTATGGAGAACTCAAGAGAAAGTTTGATTTTTTGGTTAGTATCAATTTTTCAAAACAGTTGGGTCTCTCTCTCTCTCTCTCTCCCCCTCTCTTATTTGATTTGGTTAAACGCCATCCAGCACGAAAAAGTGAAGGAAGCAGTGAACCTGTTGAAAGAGGAGGCAACGAGTGAAAACCAGGCAGTGGTGCGAGCCATCCAGGAGCTCGAAGGGCTAACCGCAATGGACACTACTTGTGAGCCGCATGGCGTGGAAGAAGTGCAGCAGGAAGAGCCAAACCCCGAACCAGAATCCCATCAAGAAGACCAACTGCAAGAACAAGGACAAGCACAGACAGAAGCAGAGGCTATGCAAGAAGCACTGTTCTGAGAGTAAAACCCTGAAGGACAGAGCTTTCTAGTGATGATGTTGGCGTTTGGGGTATCATCTTCCGGATTAGGTGTTGTTGTCTTTATTAAGGATTTTTAATTCGAATAGGGTTTGTTTGCAGAGAGAAATGGAAGTAGAGAATGTCTGTAAAGTGTTTAGGGATATGTTTTCATTGTTCATGTTGTTCCTCCCACAGTCTGGCTCTGTCTCTTTTTGTAGCTTTGCTGGTGATCTTTTTTTTCTCCCAACTCTGCTTTCTGTTCTTGTTTTTGTTCTAGGGTTTATGTTTTCATCTACAAATTAGGATCTCCTCTCATGAATAACTGCCCTCCTGGGGTTTCTACTTTCTTGGTAATCTCATCGTGGTTTGTGAGAAAATTTGTCATCTTCAGCTGCAAATGATTGTTATCTTCGATCATAACCAAATCCAGGGTTTTGGGGTTTAGGGTTTGGAATCGACTTCATATTTACAGTCTCTCCCCGTTTTGTGTGTAGATTTCGGCATCTAAACAGTGAAAATGGCGAATTTCTTATCTTATTCAATGCATTTGAACCTTAACACTCTTTAACATTAAGACACAAACCTCGTACCCATTGAAGACGGACATGTATATCGTATTTGTAATAATTAATGGAAATTCACTCGATACAAAAAAAAAACACATTTTTTGGTATCGAAGTTACAGTTGGCAGGGTGTGGGTAGATTGGAGGAGGAGGCCCATATAAATTCAAGGACGGACTCATCATCTCTCACTGGATCCCACCCGGCTAAATCTGGTTCCGGAGCTCTCGCTGTCTCCCTCCCTCTCTAGTCTCCATTTCAGGCTAAGTCCCTTTCTACTCGTCCTCCTCCTCCGGATTAGGTTAGGGTTTCTTCCTGGGTCTTCTCCTTCATTTCAGCGGGGTACGTTCAAACCCTAGCGTTTGAATGAATCGCGAAAAGCTGAATTCTTCTGCAAAATTTATTTGTGTTTTGTATTTTAGCTTCCAATTGAAGTCCGTTTTAGGGGTTTGCTCTGAAGTCTGACTCAATTAGTTGCTTGACGGCCCTCTTGTTGACTTGCGTGTATAGCTCGAAGAAGAACAGTGCTGCTTTCATGGCGACAAGATCTCTCAATTCTCTCTCTGGTATTCCTCCCCAAATTCCGCTTTCTTATCTGCTCGACGACTCGATGGTCCACCAACTTCAGCCCGAAGGCTCTGAACTCACCGCTGTCACTGATTCAGCTGTTCATAAACGCGGCCGTGGTCGACCGCCGAAGCGTAAGCCCGATTTCCATCAGAACGATGTGACTGATGAAGCCCCACCGGCCAAGCGACCGAGGGGACGTCCTAGGAAGGACGGAGCTCCGGTGGGCTCGAAGGCTGCTCCAATGGCGGAATCGAAACAGAAAGGACGCGGTAGGCCGAGGAAGTCCAAGCCCGTGTCAACCCTGGAGAGGGTTTCGCCCATCATTGTTAATGACCCACGAAAACGAGGAGGGAGGCCAAAGAAATCTGATGCTGCGTCTGTTGAAATCGTGGAGGAGACGGTGGTGGCTCCAGCCAAGAGGCGAGGTCGGCCACCTAAGATCGACAGTGTTATCAGCGTCTCTCATTCTGGGAGGCAGAGGGGTAGGCCTAGAAAGGTGAATCTGCTTCCCTCTCTTCTTGGAAATTTGTCTAATAGCGTATGCTTCTTACTTAAGACTGTTCCCTGAATTGTGGAAAATGTTTGGAGTAACATCAGAATTGGTCATTATCCTGTCTTCTTTTGTCGGTGTCTCAAACATGGTTCTTGTATCCAAGATCTTTTCTGGTTTGTTTGGTAAGAAACCCAAGTGAGTCTTTACAGACATTGAGTTCTTGTCATATATGGGACATTGACTGTTCTCCTCATAGCCAAACCTTTTATATATATATATAAATATAATGATTCAATACTTATGCCAAATCCTTCTTTTTTTTGTGTGTGAAAATGATGATGAATAAAGGATGCTACAGCCGTAGAAGTTCCCCGAGAAGAAGAAGCTGCAGACTACGGAGCCCTCGAGAGAAAATATGAATTCTTAGTAAGTCAAATAGTTCTCCTGGTAGCTCATAAAGTGAACTTGATTACATACATCTTGCATTTCGGGTTACTTCCGAATCTTACCGGATTGGTTTTGAGGTTGTTTCTGGTTGGCGAACTCTCAATCTTATCCCATGAGATTTGTTAATAATGTTATACCATCTATCATGAGATACCATTTTAAAATGTCAATTCAATCTAAGTATATTGGTTTTTTCTTTTTTGCATATACATTGGACACATAGATACAGACATACACGCATTTAATGTTAGATGTATATGCATACAGGGAGACACAGACACTTCATTTGAAACATTATCTTATACAGTTACAGGAAATTTTCGATTTTAAAAGATTGTCAAGATCTATCCTTTTAGTTATACTATTTAAAACATGAACGATTTTAGGAATTGGATTCTCTCTATCTTAACATTTTTTTTCAACAAATATATAAGATAACTAAGAGAAAGATCGATGCCCATTTGTTTGTTTTTGTTTTACGTTACAGCAAGACAAAGTGAAGGAGGCAGCCGGCAAGTTAAAAGCGGCATTTTCGGCAATGGAGGAAATTCAAGTCATAGCGGCAGAGATGAACACTGAAAGGAGCCATTGCCACCGCCATGGATGATCAGACGGAACAGCAAGCGTGTACGTTTTTAGGGGATAAAAAAACAGGACATTGTTTGGTGAACACTGACAAGATTTAGCAAAGTGATATGTTTATGTTTTGTATGTTTTATCTTAGGTGTGTTTGAAGATAGTGCAAGTAGGGGTTGTAATGTTTGTAGCTTTGTTGATCTCTTTGCAGTTTACTTAGAGCAAGCTTCATTCATGTTTGTCCTTTTTTTTCACATTTATGAAATTATTGAGACTAAATTAAAGATAAAACATATAGAGAGATTGTGTTGGGTGCGACTGATTTGGGCTTTTATTAAGTAAGCCGAAATTTGGTCAAACCCAACTCAGCCTGTTGGGTTCGGACCGTTCCTATTACGGCTTCTTCTCTCTTTTATGCCGATGCGTTTTGAAGATCACGACCTTAACCCTGTTCAGAGCCCTTTTGGTGTATCAATTCAAACCATATGGTTTGAGGTTCCTATATCGTAACCGGGGCTCATATCATTTCCTGCGTTTTGAAGATCGCGACCTTAACCTTAACCTGTCTTGGTAACTATCACACACATATCGAATGTAAATGAAAACAAGATATTATGAGTTCAACTCGAAAGAGATATTCATTTTAGCTCTCGAGAAATCTGAGAAAGTCTATTATCGAGATTGTAGGGTTACAAAAGAATGAGTTTCTTTTTCAGAAAAAGATTGAAAATCACATAATGAACAAAAAAAAAATATGATACTTTGTCTCACTCAACCAAGTTCTTGTCCGATTCATTCTTTTTGTCACGATGTTTTGTTGTGATAAATATAAAAAATTTAAAAATAAAATAAATTTCTATTTAAAATTTTTGTCAATTATATAAAATAAAAATTTTCATATAGTTTATTTTATGTCAAAAATTTAATATTTTAATATTAAATTTTAGGATTATAAAGTTGTTTATATATTTATGATATTTTTTCTGAATAATTTACTATTTTTATATAATTGTAACATTTTAAAGATTTTTTATAAATATAATAGTTTAGAATTTTGATGATAAATTTATAGTTGAGAGATTATAATTGAAAAATAAACTGTATTTTTGTGCAAATTTGGTAGTTTAGAGTAAGGAGGTGGACATGTCTTTTAGACTTCATATTTGGCCTCTTATTATTCAGATGCGAATTCTTTGGTTACGATTAATTTGGATTATGTTCTTATCAAAATTTAAATAATTATTCAATTTTAATCGGTTTATTTTGTTCCGGTTACAATTTGATTTGGTTCAATTACATTTAATTATAATTATAACCAAATCTCAATTCAATTTGATTTGATTTGCTTGTGTAAGGAAAGAAACCAAGTTTCATAATTTTGATATATAAAAATATAAAAAGGTCTATTTGGATATTGTATACAGTATAAAATGGGTATTAATCGACAATACAATAATATACATACACACACACACATATATATATATATATATTTTGAAAATTCAGTTAATTCTATTTTGGTGATTTCATATTTTGAAAATTCAAGACGAAAAGATTATTTAATTTTAATGGGTTCAATTCAATTCGGTATAATAGGTTTTTAAATATGGGCCCTCAGGGTAACATTGTCAGTTAGGGCTCACTAAGGCCTCTCTTGTATTGTAATATACTTTGAGGCCCATTAAGTTTGTTTCTCTTTTTTCACGGCCCAACATAGGGTTACACTCGTTCTGTTAATGGACACGTCTGCCCCTCCCCCGGGGACCAATTGTAATCGCCTACAATCATATATGCATATTATATATATATATATATATATATATGCTCATTTATGCAGCCACGGTTGGATATTTTCTAAAAAATATGATACACACGATATCAAATATCTGGAGTTTCTTTTTGTACTTGATATTGATGATCCGATGTGCAAGGCCATGATTAGAAACATTGTTTCTATCTATTTATTATCTAAAAATAATCAAGTTATTAATTACGATATTTTGTAAATACATAATTATCTTGAATATATTAATTATTTCTTTATTTTTTTTTGGAAGAGACAAAAGAAACATCTTGTTCTTTCTTCAACAATTACGGATCCTTCCAATTAGTGATGTCAATTGGGTTGGCCCAACCCATTTGGATCCAAACCCATTTGGATTTCAATGATAAATGGGTTTGGTTGGGTCGATATGTTAATAACAATGGGTTGGGTTGGGTCGATCCATTAAACATGTGTAAACCATTTAAATTCCCATTTATATATTCGTATACTACTTGTACATATATATAACTAGTAATACGTATATCCATATAAACTAGAGATAATATTCAATTCAGTTTATTCGATTCAATAAAAATATATATAAAATCGGATATTAAATTATATTCGATAGTTTATGAAAAAATTGTAAATTTTTTTAAAAACTCCGATTTTTTTTAGTTTTTTAAAATTCGATTCGATATATTAGAAATATTGTCGTTTAGATTTTTTGAACGATTCGGTTCGAAAACGACGCCATTTTTATAATATGATTCGATTAATGGTGTTGAATTTTTCGGTATGATTCAAGTTTTTCGATACGATTCAATTCAGAATAATATCGAGTTTTTTATATGATTCGAATTTTTTTGCCATGATTCGATTCAAAAACGACACCAAATTTTTCGCCACGATTCGATTCATAAATGATACCGAGTTTTTCGGTACGATTTTATTCGTAACTATAACGACTCGAATTTTTCGGCATGATTCGATTCGAAAACGACACCAAATATTTTGATTCAATTTATATACATATATATGTGTGTGTATATATGTTAATATTTATATTTCTAAATATAACAATTTTAATTAAATACGAAATGAGTTTAATTTTGACTAAGTATATAATAGGTTTAATGGGTTAACCATTTAACCAATGAGTTTAATGGGTCAAAATCCATTTAACCCATTTTAAAAAAATTAGTCAAATGGGCTACCCCGTTTGGATTTATAAGTGGATCGGATTGAGTCGACCCGTATAACCCAACCCATTTTGACATCTCTACTTTCAGTAGGATTCGAACCCAAATAAAGTTTCAAAAAATTCTTTTGGAGCGATCACTTTAGTTATTGACCGAATAATCGAAACGAATCAAATTGAATATGATATAATCATAATCGAATTGAATTTGACATAAAAACTGAACAGTTATAATTTTTTTAAACTCGAAAAGATCGAAACCGAATCAAACCGAATCGGTTAATAAAATAACCGAAGAAACTGATAATTTCTTTGGAAAACAATTTTTTTACAACAAAAAAATCGAATCTAAAACGAATCAAAGTTTATATAAAAACCAAATGGTTATAATTTTTCTATAATTGAAATAATCGAATCCTAATATAAACGAACCGAATACCCACCTTCCTACATAATTATTTTTGAAATAACTTCTTCTATGCAGTATATATCTCTCTCATATGCATCATTGAAAAAGATGTTATAGGCATTTCTAAAGAGGTCGTAACAACATAGAAAATGGTGCAAATTTGCAAGTTGAAATTAATCTTATTAATTCAAAGTAGACAAGTTATTAGAATTAGATCGCAATCCAAGTACACTGGGTTATATATATAACATCTGCGGAAACACACTCTATGTGGGCAGTGTTAGATTTAAGTACACACATATATATGTATAAATATATATATATATATATATATATATAATGGTGTACAAATGGAAATCCCATAGGGGTAACAGTTAAGCTGGATCTTTTTAAAGCGTGTTGTTGCATGAGATGTATCTCAAGCTAGGAGAGAGGGTGGATGAAAATAGCATATTAGGGCATAGGAAAAGACAGAAAAGGGTTTATGATCCCAAAGACAGAGAAAAGGGTTCATGGGAATGTGATGTGAGAGAGACAAAAAGGAGAAGACGGAGGGAGACAAGGCTAGGGGCAGTTGGGAAGAAGAATAATAGTGAAAGCCACGAGACATTGGCCTATACATACACCCACACACATACGTATGGTGTTGTGTATTTATGATAGAATAAAAGAATATCGCAAACGAAAGATAAATAGTGATTGAGAGAGATGACAATGTCACGTCCTTTTAGCCTTCGCATCTCCCCATATCATTCATATCCCCGGAATTCCACGCCCTCTCTCTCTCTCTCCTCGTAGTCAACCTCATCAATTCCCTTTTTCTCACTCTATAATTTCCCTAACGTTATGGAAAATAGTAGCCATATACAATCTCACATCTTCATATAATATCTTTATCTTACATCTTAAATCCACATAGTTAGTTTGCAATGTTTTCCATTCCATTACATTCCATATATATATATATATATATAAATAATTCAATATATATATGTATGTATCATGTATGTAAGTATATGTGTGTGTATACAGATGCATGATATTGATATAAATTAATTTGTGTATGTGCGTTTGTATGATATAGACGTACAGGGGTAGCCCACCTGCGTGCCCTCGTCTCTCCACATTCTATCATATACTCTCAACCTTCTCTCTCTATATATACTTACCACATGAACCCATAAGCTCACATATATACAACCTTCAACTCTCTCGCCGACTTCTCCATTTCTTCTAAAGAAACCAACTCCATTCAACACTATATCTATATATAGAGAGAGAGAGAATGTGGATGATGGGATACAACGAGGGAGGTGCAGATCCCATGAGCGGCGCCGGAAGAAAACTGAGGCCTCTAATCCCACGGCTTTCTTCTTCATCCACCAAACCCACCGAAGTTTTCTCCCTCAGTCCCCATCTGGGTATATCTCTCTCTCTAGATCTGCCTCTCTCTCTCTCTCTCTCTCTCTCTCTCTCTTAATGTTTGTATGCATATACATGTTCATCTACGCATTATTTAATAGCCCACACGTGTCTTTGGTAGTGAATCTGTAATTTGGTACTTATGAGTTCAAGATACGATTTACATATACTTGTTCATCTACGCATTATTTAATAGCCCGCACATGTCATCTACGCATTATCCCTCAGTCCCCATCTAGATAACAATTCTGCGTTGCAAAGTCTCCAACTTTACAGTATAATAGGTAGAATTACGAATAAGTTTATACCAGATCCAACCAATATCTTGCATATTCCATAATCCATATGTAAAACGTGATGTGTGCGTGGATTAGGCAACGAGAGCAAGAGAGAGGCGGTGGTCGTGAGCTCTTCGCGGTGGAATCCGACGCCGGAGCAGCTTAGGGTTCTCGAGGACTTATACCGGCGAGGGACTCGAACCCCTAGCGCCGATCAGATACAGCAGATAACGTCGCAGCTGCGGCGCTACGGTAAGATCGAAGGCAAAAACGTTTTCTACTGGTTTCAGAACCACAAGGCTCGTGAGCGTCAGAAACGTCGCCGTCAAATGGAATCATCCTCTGAACACATTAATAATCACGATCATGAACAAGAGCACTTGATGACTATTGCCCTCAACAACCACGGATTCGAAAAGAAAGATTCAGGTATGTTATAAGTAGAGATTAATATATGTATGATGATATTAAAGTCTAGGGTTAGGATCTTTAGAGTTTAAGCGAGGATATATGTATGCGTTTGAAGATTCCTTTGTGTGGAATATCTGTTTTTTAAAATGCATTTTAGGGTTTTAGAGATTAAAGTTAGAATCTTTATGCATTTTTTTTGTGTTTTATGTTTCTGGTTCTGAAGGGTCAAACAGGACAGGTTACGAGGTTGAACAGACCAAGAACTGGATATACTCTACACCCTGCACTACACTACCAGAGGTATATGCTTATATGTGTGTGTGTGTATATATGTGTATACATAGAGGAGATACATATAAAACATATATATCAGAATTGATTGACATTTTTACACGGAAAAAGATAGTACTTTGCTGCTTACACCTTATATAAAAATATATAATATTGTTAGATGTCATGAATCCATAGTAGATGAATAATAGACGTACCATCTTGCTAGCTAGTTCATTTAACCTAAAAGAATAGTATATAATATTCCACTTCAATTTATTCATTAACTCATCAGGAGAGATTTGAATTAGTGTTATTAATTTAATATAGACGAATATATATACACACACATAGATGTGTGTGTGCGCGCGCGTGCGTGCATTTTAGTGGTTCACTGCATTATTCTCCTCGGCCACTTTTTTTTTTTTTGGTTGAGATATGAAAGCAAAATAATTAAGGTAGGGTTTGATATAATTAGGATATGATTACAAAAGAATCTTTTGAGAATAAGTGAATTCTTTGGAAGTTTGGTAACTTTGAAAACAAAAAGGGGGCAGAGATGTGGTGAAGATGGGGCAGTGGAAAACGACAAAAAAGCTTAGGTTGGTTGTTGGGAAATGTAAAAAAAAAAATAAAAGCAAGTTTGTATTCAAATTATTTTGTTTTAAAGAAATAAAAATCATTCCATTGTTTTTTAGTATTTTTTAAGAATTAAAATGGAAAGAGTTAAATTTTTTAAATATGTTTGATCCAAAAGCTGCAAACCTTCCTTCTTGTCGGGGCTGCAGCTAGGATTCAATTCGCTGTGTCTTGTGTTTTGTTTTTTTTTAATAAAACCATTTCTTATATGCTTTTTGCTCCGACATGGGCACATCCCACATGCTTAAAAGACGGTTTTGACCTTCGCATCCACCGTATCTGTCCACTTCACCCTTGTCCTTTTCTGGAATTTTACGACTCCTTTGGTCTCTCATGGTTCCATAAAGTTTGTCCCTTTAGCATCAAAGACAAGAAAGAAAAAAAACTTACCGAGTACCCAAGATTTGACCGTTTCCCGAATAGGAATTCATTTTTCTTTGTTTTTCATTGGAGTATCTATATTATATACATGGTGTCATTATATAAAACTATTAAGAATTTGGTTATTATATATATATAGAGTTTACCGCCAACTAGGGTTTCACTTGCTACGATTACATATAGGAGATAAAATTTTAATGAATGACTGCATAAAACCATTTTGTAACTTTAGCATTGAAGACAATAAACTAGGACTAGCCCAAGGTATCTATATGAGTTTTTTTTTTTCAAATCAAAATCTGAGTTTCTTTTATTTAGATTTAATGGGCATCAAATTAATATTTGTATCGTCTGCATGGTGCCGTTTATGAAACCTCATCAGCATCAAGAATCTGTAACGAGAGGGAGGGGGACAATGGCAGTGATGGCAGGAGGAGATTGCAGAGCAGAGAACAGATGGGTCCATCTCAATGGAAGAGGAGAAGACGATGCATTATTGTTGCAGACCGATCATCGCAGAAACTTTCTCGGAAGGAATTCCACGTGGCAGATGCTGCATCTGCCACCTGACACCACCCACCAGTACCCTCTCATTTTGAACTCCACCACTGTTTCATCCATTTCCACCAACAACAACGCCGTCTGTTCTTCCTCATCTGCTAAGACTCCGGTCGCTGTTCCCGTGCTACCATCTCATCCGCAAGTGTTTTTCAACGCAAGAAAAATGATGAACGCAAAGGATACTCGTAATCATCTCAAGGGTCAAGAACACTATCATCATCAAGATTGTTGTGGTGATGGTGAGGATGATTCTCATGACCAGACGCTTCAGCTGTTCCCTCTCAGCAAAGAAGAAGATTGCAACAATGGCAATGAGAAAGAGACAGGGAAGGTGGCAGGAGTGGAACTTATGAATGACTTTAGCTGCTTTAGTCCTATTTACCGTTTCTATGAGTTTCTTCCATTGAAGAACTGATCTGATTTCTTTCGACCAAGATGGCCAAAGACTTTAGCTGCTTTAGTCCTATTTACCGTTTATCTTGCTAGATAGATCAGACAAGGGTACTATCTAGTTTTATAAAAAAAAAAGGGTACTATCTAGGGTTTATCCTCCGCATGCTATATATATATATATATATGTTTTTCTCTCTAGCAATATATATTTATTTATTTTTGTTAAAAAGCTATATATATTTATCTTGCTATATATATATATATATATATATATGTTTCTTTGGTTAAGAGTCAAGATACTAATTAGTAAATTCAGAAATTTTGGTGGTTGATATTATATGTTCTTTTTTGTTGGGGAATGATTACGTATACAATCTGTCTTTTTATGATTCTGATGTTAACACTTCATGAGGGTTTGCCTCAAAAATGCATTTGGGCCATGTCTGCCCTCTTGTGTTTCAATCAACGAGATTTTTTCTTTGAAACTAAAAATAATTGTATATTGATAACATTTAAGACAACAATGCAGAGAAACTATACATATATATGTGTGTGTAGTGGCGTGTGATATTTGGATGTCAGACCCGTGTTTGGCTAGTCGTTTAATTAATTTGTCATTTACGTGAATACATATGGGATGGTTTTTGGATCAGACAAGTTGCTGAATTTAGCTTGGAAGATGAGGAAATTTGATGTTGAGACCAAGGATTATGAAATGGGTCGCATACATATATATATATATATATATACATGCATACAAACACGCATGCACACACACACACACGAGTGTATACGCATTTGAGTTTTACATGTGATGAGAGAGAGAGAGAGAGAGAGAGAGAGGGATAGATTGATGTTGAAGTGACAAAGAGAAGAATGTGATAACTTTGGTTCGAGAGCTATTTTGTTCTTCTCTTAAATAACTAATTAGAAAAGACCTAAATGAAAATATTTCCCTTCACTACCTCTTCTTATTGCGATGCCAGTAATTAATGTATATATTTGAAATTTTATGTTGAAAATCAAAATCAATACACAAAGTGCCTTCAAGACGTTTTAAATCAAGATTAAAAAATCGCAATTAATGCCCACAAAATAGAAGAAATCAAGGAATTATACATGTATATACTGGTAGAAATTTGATTTTTTTTCTTCTTAATTTTGTCTTTTCAATTAGGACTAATCAGTTAGTTCGAGTTTTTTTAATTATTATTAGGAATTTTCAAAAGGGAAAAGACAAAATCATGAAGGGGCCAAAAGGGGGTGAGAGATACAGAGAGAGAGAGAGAGAGAGAGAGAGCCGAGCACACGTAAGAGAGGGAAAGAGAATGACTTCATAAGAGAGAAGAGAAGGCAAAGACAAAAGCAACAAGAAAATTGAATGTTTCACACTGAGCACTTAATTCCCTTTTGTTAACCCACAGGAACATCCTCATTCCTTTGTGTCTCAATTTTGTACGGTTCATGAATCTTTATTTAGAGAGAGAGAGAGAGAGAGAGAGAGAGAGAGATTTTATTGTCCTTGTTCATTTCCATGCATGCTCGTGTTCTTCGCTTTTTTTTTTATTTATAATTTTATTTAATGGGAGGGCAAGTGAATGCATATGATGATGTGTTGCTGTGAGCGTGAAAGTAACCAATCCTTTTTGATTAGACAAACAAAAAAAAAAGCTTTGTTGAAGGAAACAAATGGGTATTTCATCATCAGATTCCCAAACGATTTGATTATATATATCGGGAAACAAAGGAAACATGATCAAATTTCTCGTGAATTGTAACGAAGTTCAATCTCACAGCATTTTTCCACAATGATTTTTTGGTCAATCCACCGTACGGTACGGTTTTTGGTTATTTCCTATGAAGAATGTGTAATAAAAATCTCCTCTGCTGTTTGATATTTTCTTTTATAACATTCGTGACGTGTGAAATGTGCAAGTTATTATCAGCATGCATGCAACGCGCCTCGCATTCATTTAAAAAAAATAGAAAAAATAAATTCAAAAGTAACCCTTTCCAAAATAGAGATTCGAATCTAGACTGCAAAATAAGATTTGCTCCATCATTTACCAGTTAATTCTATCCAAAATATAATCATTTAAACCGTATGAAATATATATAGAATTCAATTACCATTGCTTACATAAAACACATAATCGACCGATCGATGGTATACAAATCTTATGGTTGTAGGACATACACGAAAGAAATACTTCGAAAAGGTCATGTCATGTGAATATATGGGTCAGAGATTATATTTTGAATAGAATTATGGTTAGTCATTTCAATTCTTGATATATAGTTGGAATAGTTGCGTATATTTTCCAGCAGAAAATACGTACATGATGAGATAATGGAAAAAATGATGGAACAAATATGGTCCATAGATAGTCCCAAGTGTAGTGCAGGTGATAATATACGTACTTACATTTATATCCATACCACATGAATAAATTTGTCACAAGTTCACGTGAAATTAAATCTCAACGTGTATAGGGATAGCTCTTGAATAGATTTAGTCTCAAATGTGCACCAATTTGTGAGAATATGAATATATATGAACGAGAGAGACGTAGACAATTAATATGGAATGATTTTTTTTTTTTTAAAAAGGCGGTCGAATTGACAACTCCATGGTCTTCTGTCTGTGACGGACAAATGGTGGCAGCCATGGCCCCTCTCTCCCCCTACCCCATGGACCATTCACATTCTCTCTCTCTCTCTCTCTCTCTCTGGTTAAATCCTTCATGTGATTTCTCTTCTTCCGTCTTCATTCCACTGATATCATGAGGTCATCATCATCATATATATATATATATGTATATGTATGTATACATTATAACACACACATCCACATTAATACTCGTCTGACAAATGTAAGATTGCATGCTATATTGTTTTAATTATGGAGAACGTACGCTTTTTCCATGGGAATGCGTTGCACAAGAAAACCCAACTAACAAAATAAAAGAAGAAAGAAAATTGATGGTTAATTAATTGACAATTTAAAAAAAAAAAAAAAAAAAAAAAGGGGGTTGGGGGGGGGGGGGGGGGGGGCAGAGACGAACACAAAGAGGGTTTGACCTACCTTGGCATAGATTTCCGTAGGACATTGATTTCGATTATTAGAGAGAATCTTCAATAACCCCCAACTGGATGGAGGACTCATTGGGTTTTGTGTGTGTGTATACATATAAAGAAGAAGAAAGATTTGAATACACAAATTGGTCTTTTAACTACAAAGAAACATGAAATTTCGGTTGCCCAAAAAAGGCATGAAATTTGATACGAACGAGAAGCATATGCAATGAGGGAAATTCAACAAAAACCCCATCTCTGCTTTATTTACTTCTTCACAACCCAATAATACTCTAAATAGATTTCCTAACCTCAAACCACAGTTAATAGGGAAAAGCCTCTCTTATGAATTCTTCCTTTCCCTTCTCGGATTGTAATTATTTCCCGTTTCAAGAAATAACCGCAAAATTGATAATCCGAAAACCGGTTTCATTTCATGAATAGCATGCATAAGGTTTCAGGGTAACCGGTCACCAAAACCCGCGCATATCACAGACAACAGATATCAAAGTAGGATTATCCGGTCCAACCCAATTATTACAGTATTTGGGTTTTTTTAGATTATTAGATTTTAATCTATTAAACCCACTAGTTATAGGTTTACAAGGGCATGCTTTTTTTTAGGTTATTAGGTTTTACAGTTTTAAGAGATGTCAATCAAGCCGACCCGATTCAAGCCCACACTCAGTCCGAGTGTTTCGGGTTGGGGTTCAGACCATTCCGATTTTTTTTGGAGTCTTTATAACCAAGTATGAAGTTCGGCCCTATAGATTTCAGGCTCAGATCAACTCGGACCGGTCTGTTCAAATTCCTTTGTAATTTTTTTTTTTAAAATTATCGAGCTTTTGGACTGACCTGATTTGGGTCCGAAATCCGATTTGAGCCCGACCTAAAAACCCAAATTTTTTTGGACCAAAAAACTTAAACTCAAATCCTACTATTTTTTGGAATGGATCGGACCGAGTCTCAGATCTCAAGCTTAAATTGACACCCTCCTTCCATTAAACCCGTGTGTCTACTTAGAGGTTTGATGTCACGCGGGTTATTACTAGGACTGGGCACAAATCCCCGAAAATCGGGTATCCGTCGGATACTCGTCTCACGGATACCCGATTTTAGGGTACTCATAATTTTCAAATCCGAATCCAAATCTCGATTTTTCAATACCCGTGAATCCGAATCCAAATCCGGATAATCGAATTTTTAAAACCGGATACCCGCGGATACCCGACAGCACAGTTAATGGGTATTGGTTTCCCGCCATCCTCTATTCAATACTCTCAGTCTATTCCTCCAAGTTCCTCACTTCAGTATTCTCTATCTATTCCACCACCAAATACTTCACTTCAGTATCAGCAATCCATTCCACCAAGTTCCACTCTTCAGTATTCCCAGTCCATTCCACATAGTTCCTCACTTCAGTATTCCCAGTCTGTTCTGCCAAGTACGTCTTTTCAATATCCACAGTCTATCCCACCGAGTTCGTCAAGTTCCTATGGAATATATCCCCCGTTATATGGGCATGTAGTTCAGCATGGAGAAAGGGAACTGTTTTCAGTACACCATCATCAGAGTTCTATGCCTTTCCAAGGGGTTGTTAATCAGCAGGGCGGCTGGACTGAAGGGCAGCCATATCCTGGCACCACACCTCAAAACGCACCAATGCTTGTGAAAGAGCTTAACGTAAAACATGATACAGAATTTCATGAAGGTGTAGAGCCTGAAAACTCTCATCTTTTGGGAACCGACCACCAAAATCCTGCTCAAATGGGTGATGATGAGGTGAAGAGTAACAGTCAAATTCTAGAGGCATCAGTTTCCACAGCCGTACCTAACCAAGACTTGCATTTACTCCCCCCGAGAAGGGATACCCGTCAGAACAATCCTGTGAAGCCTGCTACCTACCGTGATGCCGTTACTGCTGGTCAGGTTCCTCCTGCATCTGGTGATAATGACCAGCTTTCAACATCAAGTGGTGCCTGTGGTCCAGCTCACATCGACTCGGAGTCAAATTTGATCGACCTTAACTATCCTGAACCTGTACAGCCCCTACAGAGGGTGTACCGTTCAGAGAAAATACCCCGTGAACAGTTAGAATTGCTAAATCGCTTGTCGAAGTCTGATGATTCTTTAGGTTCTCAGTTACTAATGTCCCATTGCATATACATACATATAAGTATATTTATATATATACACATATATATATACATATATATGTATATATATATACATATGCATATATATATGTATATACATACAAAATAATATATATATATATCTACATACAAATACAAATATAAATATAAATACTCCTAGATATATATATATATATATATACATAATAAAAAATATATAAGTATATATACATATATAGGAGTATGTATGTTTATATTTGTATTTGTATATAGATATGAATATATATGTATATATATGTATTTTTTTACTTTTTATTTATTTATTTATTTATTTTTTTACATTTTTTTTTCGGATTTTTTGTTTTGTTTTTTTTAATCTGTTTTTTATTTTTATTTTTTTGTCATTTTTCGGATTTTTTTGTATTTTTAAAAAATCTGACGTGACATGTTGACATGACAAAATTTTTCATGTGGTGTGCCATGTCAGACGGCACGTAGCGTGCCATATCATCGGTTAACGGACATTTAACACCGTTTTCGGATTGTGTAGGAAATTGAAGTTAAATTTGGTAGTTCGTGTATCAATTTGGCACATTTGATAATTTGATGTAGGTTTTTGTCAAATTAAAAGTTCGTGTAGGAAAAAGTCACATTTTAAACAATCCGTATAGGAAAATGTCATTTTCCCTAAATATATCTTCAATTTTTAAAAATTTTATATATGAATATTGTTGTTTCTCTTAAATAAATTCGGATCCGGATATCCGCGAATATCCGACCATTATTCCAGATACCTGTACCCCGGGTACTCGTAAATATCAAATCCCGGATACAAATCTTATAGCTAAATAACCGAGCCTCCCGAATCCAAATCCAAATCTCTCAATTTTCCCGGGTATCCGACCCGTGTCCACCTCTATTATTACTAACGTCAAATGAATTACAAGGGCATGTTTTTTTTGTGAATCTCTCTCTAGCTCTAGCTAGGGTGCGATAAAGATATCATGTTGAGGTGAGAGATCAATTCCCGACAACATGAGCAACAAATTCTCACCGGTGATGCCACACCCGGCCGGCATCTATAACTTTCTGTCCATGTTTTGAGATTGCTTCGCCACGGTTGTCTCTGTCGAGAAACAAAGACAGATAGATTGAACTCCTTGTCATGGAGTTGGGTAATGGTTCTGGGAAAAGGCTTACTAAACTGGAATGTGGATAAGCGTTAGTAAAATTTTCAACTTCCATCTATATAACACTTAGAAACACTCACTCCAAGTTTTATATACATGTATGTGTGTGTGTATGAGTCCATTGTAGATCACAGATTAATAAAGTAAGAGGTGGAATGGACACGTTCATAGTGCAGGATCCCACTGGACTGGACTTGTACTGAACATTGTCCAGGAAACGTTGGAAAATTCTTATCATTCTCTGAGCCGACTTTCTGCCAAATCAAAGCATAAACATGGAACTTATACCGCTTGTGGGTGTGATGATTCATATGGCAAATCATAAAGAACCAAACAATCTCAAGAAGTTCTATTCTATCGCCTGATTCTGACTCTTTTTGTTCCTCACATAAGCTCCAATCTCTCAATATCTTGTGACATAGTTAAAGTCAAGTCAAAGAGCTGACCTTTGTACAGAATCTGGGCTCACGCTTCAATCTTCGCTCGCTGTCCCCCCGACTGGCGAAAGCAAGATTCTCACCGTGAGCAGTCGCCATGTTGGAGAGATCGCCGGAAAACCAGAAGAAGACGAAATGAGAGAGAGATCTGGGAGAACTCAATGGCCCCATTTTCCGGCGAGTCTGGACCTGGAGAAGCTCCTAGATCTACGGCTGTGAGGTAGTCTTCCTCTGGGCCGCATGAATTCGCACGAACGACGAGCCGGAAAGTTGAACAGATTATCGATTGCGTGACAGGGAGGGATTCGGCCGGGGGAGTGGCGTGGGCTTTGGGCCTTGATTAAAATAAGAAGGCCCAGCTAAAGGAACAGAAGAAAAGCCCGTAGAGTCCAAATATGAGCAAGTGCGCGTGGAATATCATCCACTCGCTCTGTAGTATCTTCCTCCTCTGTTCCAGTTCCAGATTTTTTGCATCCGTGTTCGGAAGAAATGGCATCTCTCCCCTCCGGAGGAGTATCGATCTTGGGAAACCGACAGTTACTGTCGGCTTACGCTACGGTTCGACCGCTGATTCTGCGACACAGAGCAACAGGTCAAAAGAGACACGGGCTTGCTCTCCTTTCAGCTTGACGAACATGAATGAACCCATTAACTGAAACATGTGTAATTTAAACAGGGAAGGGGGGATGGTCGAAATCAGTGGGAGCGGGAATTCGATCAAGGAACAACAGAAGAAGGAAAGAGGGGATGAGGTGTCGAGTGAGTTCCAACTCTAGCGGAGCTGACAATGAGCCTTCCACCGAGCAGGAGACAAAGGTGGGTGGGTTTTCGTTGTTAAGACCAGCCTTGAACGATTGATTTGATCTGATAATGTTTTTTTCAGTAGACGCCGTTTGGGTACTCGAGGAAGGACGTGTTGTTGATAGGAGTGGGGGTGACCGCCATTGGTGTAGGCCTCAAGAGTGGATTGGAGGTAAGCCCTTAAACCAAACACAACCAAGCTATACATATATAGATAGGAAAAGGTTTTAGGACAAGGAAACGGCAGTACGCAGGGGTGGATCCGCTGAAAGCGGGGAACGCAGTGCAGCTGATAATGGTGTTAGGGCTGACGGTGGGGTGGATATCCACTTACATCTTTAGGGTTTCCAACAAGGAGATGACTTACGCCCAACAACTCCGTGACTACGAGGACAAGGTTATCCAGGTTTGTCTTTCACTCCCTTCCCCACATCATTCCTTTTTTCATATGTTGAAAAAAACCACCCTTGAGGGCTTTGGGCAATGGTAACCAAATTTGGAATTGGCAGAAACGGCTGGAGAGCTTATCCGAGGCAGAGATAGAGGCATTGCTGGAACAGGTGGATGAAGAGAAGAGACTGTCCGAGAGCGGCGGCGGCAACCAGAGTTGATTCAGAGACATATCTATTCAAAAAGATGATGAAATGTCAATACAGATGATGGATGGGTTGGAGGGGTCTTCAAGTGATGAAACCCTCTCGAGAAAAATCTGTGTTAACCTTTACTCTGTCATATTTGGGGGGTTACCAACATATAAACCTTGGCCCTTTCCCAAAATTTAAAAAAAAATGTTTATGCAGCTTGAGAATATAGATTTCACTGTGTAAAAAAGAATTGTAATCAAATGTGGATTTAATTTTCCCTTCAAAATATAATATTCTAACTCTGGTAATGTATAACAACAATCCAAAGCAAAACGAGAACTCTCTCTCTAAATTTGGTTATAACCATGCTGGAAAACTGGTCAGTAGTAACATAAAAAGAGAATGAGAGCACAGAACAGAAGGGTGTTGCTATCTCCGGGTAGGCTTTGGTCTCAACCTCTTGTACGCCATGAAAGTGACTGCCCCCGACAGAGAGTACCTGCCTCATTCATACACCCACAGATACTTCATTTGCATCTTCAATCTTCCATATATGAATGTGAAGGCAGTAGAAATACATTGACGATAGAGATGATGGAAATGTACCATGTTAACGAGTAATTGAGATGGTCCTGCGGCATGACCTTACTACGGATCAATGTGTTGACGTCCTTCGGAACAGGGTAAGGTCTACTCGGGTTGATGTCTTCATGTGTGTCCTCTATGTAGATTGTGTTCTCAGGAAGGCCTACAGCTCGTGCCATCACAGGAACATCCACATAGAACCACTGTCCCGAACTCGGGTCGTTTGGTGGAACAAATATGCTCGGGTTCTCGCTTCCACGGATGACACCTATGACTTCAACAGTCGTAAGAGCCGCAACTTGATCCTGGTTGAATTTCAGTTTTCACAAAAAAATCTAAAAAAAAACTTGATATGGAGTACCGGGAAGATTGAATTACTTCGGATAATATGTCATTGCCAGTTTGCCACCCTTAATATTGATGAAAGACGTTTTAAAGGTACGGGATATAACAAGACCAACCTCAGTGATGGCAAGTCTCTTAGACCAGAACTTCCACCAGGGTTTTTCGTCACTAGCTTTCGCTGATTGGTTTTCAGAAACATCCATGTCTTTGGATTCCAAAGACTTTTCTCTCCAACTCCGAGGAACCCATCCACGATTCACCAGAATAGGTGACTGCACGCTAGCGAAAACAGAGGACCATTATGTAATTGGTGACTGGTAAGTAACTCCTAAAATATTTGGGAAATAAAAGGCAGATCATGAAGGCATATGCTCATCTATGAGCTACAGGTAGCTGAAAAAAGTACAGATATTTTTGGAGCTCGAAATTGTCCGTCACGTGCGAGAGAATTAAACCCAAGGAGAAAATATCATTAGCCTCACCTATCCAGATCGCCAGGAATCGGCATCAGAGGTGTAATGACATAGTATCCATTTTCAGTCACACCTGATATTGCCCTAGACCGTGGACCCAAGTAGATTGACCTTTGCTCATCAAAAACACCTTTGCATGCGACCCGTCTAAACTCCAACGCGTCCGGATTCACACTAGATGAGTATTCCGTATTTAGCTTCATCGGTTCCATTTTCAGGCGTTGATGTCTGTATTCTAGCATTTCGATCTGTTTTAACAGAGGATGGAACAAAAGCCTTTACAATCTTATTCAGCCAGCCTAAACCAGGAGAAGATCTCAAACATGCCATTTATACAATGCAACACAAGGAAATCCACTAGAAACAGATTGAGGCAGAAAAAACCTATAACCAAAAGCACAAATCTTAAGGAATCAGGGGATAGTACGACAAGGGCATGACTGCTATAAAAAAGAACAGGCATCAATTCATCAAAACACTTCTATATTGTGCGACTGCCGCATAAATTATCAGTTGAAAATGCCCATGCGTTACGTGTATTCACATCTGAGGCTTTTTAAACCTGATTAATCTACACGACTGTGTAAAGCACTACGCTTATCTGCAAATAGATGTAGCGTGTGACAACCAGTAGACATATCAAAGAAACCCAGATTCCGCCGGAGAAACTCAACTATAGCAAAGCCAGAGACACGAGAGCACGAAAACGACACGACAGCGTAAAGGAAAATCCTCAGTGGTTCGAAACGATCTCACGGAAAGAATCCGACCTTTTCTCGGCGTCTGATGATCTGCCAAGTGCCGAGGCCGAAGGTAATCGCTCCAGGCAAGAACAGCAACAGTTTTGACCACTTCGAACCTAGTTTATCCTCTGTGGAACAAATTTTCCGACAAAATATAGGGATCTTAAAAATAAAAAATGCATCAGGCTCAGTAATTTCAAGTTTCAAAGCAGGTACGGGAAAGAAATACCTTGAGCGGGAGCTGAAGAGATCGGATGGGCCCCGAGAGCAGCGGAGCCAGAGGAGGTGGTTTGCCGGAAGGAGAAATGGTGGGGGAGGCGAGATGGGAGAGAAGTAGAGGACCTGTGAGGGCTCAACCTCGCTAGGGTTTTAGATAACACCATCTTCGTCTCCGATTTGAGAATTGGAGAGAGACAGGTGTTCAATTATGTAGCTGAACGAGCGAGTTATTTCGGTTATTTTGTTTTGGTAAAAAGATTGTAACCTTTCTTTCGATTATATTTTGGTCCGAATTCTGTTTTTATTAATACAAAATTAGATTTTCTTAATTACATTTTTATTGTTTCAATTTGATTACTTTGATTTTACAGAAATTCGTTCGATTTTGATTATAAATTGTCCGCTTGGATCCGTTTTAATTATTAACCAAATAAGCCATCTAATTGGAGGGCCTATCTATCTAATGGGCTTTCGGGGATGAATTAAGTTTTAGGTAAAATTCCATAAAAATATCTAAATTTGTTACACATAAATATTTTAATTTTAAAATTATTAAATGAATAATTCAAATCGATCAATTGTACCAAATTGATGACGTTGTTAACGGATAACATCATCAATTTGTATCAAATAGATATCAAATTAGTATTGAAATAGATCAAATTGATATATTTATTTGATAATTTGTAAAATGAAGGAAGTAATTATATGTTATATTTAGACAAATTGAAGCATTTTTATGGAATTTCCTCTAAATATAAATGGTGCGATGTCAACATTCAGAAAGAGATTATACACGAAGATATAATAGGGTAATTCCATTAAAATCTCTATACTTTTTTGTTACAATTTTAACCCTATATTTTTTTTATCCAAAATACTTATTGATATGACATCCTAATCATCCTCACATCATAAACCACATAATATTTAATAATATTAATTAATAAAAATAATAAAAAATTATAATAATATTAATAAAAAAATAAATAATAAAAATTACTTATATACCTTCATATATCATATACACATATATATATTAGTTTATTTTGGACTTTATGAATTTGATGTTCTATTTATTATTATTATTATTATTATTATTATTATTATAATAATAATAATTTGGGAAGTGTGGGAAAGAATACGCAAAGACGTATATCACATCTAAGAGTATAATACTATCTTATAACCAAAGTTTATTTATAAAAAAAAAGCATATTCTATGTGTTATGCATGCATGCACAAAAATAAATAGACATTTTCAAACGGCATGCACATTTTGGAATATCGTTATATATAATGCTTAGGTATTTCATAAGATTTAAAAAACATCCAAATGGGACAAAAAGACATAACGGTTTAGAATCATTTAGCAGTTTATAGTGCTTTAATTCAGCAATCCCCCAGATAGGCACAAATGGCATTATATTATGTGTACTGTATGTAATGTATGTGAGTATGCTTTTAGGATGAGAGATATACGAGAAGCTGACAAATTATTTGAAATAACACACAAGGTCGTAATATAATTACAAGAAATGCCACCCAAGTTCTAACACACACAAAAAAAAAACCCTCTCCAATGGGTCAAAAATCATTTTTTTTTTCTTTTATATAATTTAAGGCGGATTTCAAGAATTAGAGACAGAAATCAGACCATGAAACTTGAAAGGCTATCATTAGATATACATTTAAAATCACTCATGGGTCTCCGCAATAGCAGGAAGCAAGCATTGGATCCTCCTAACCACATCCTCCATTGTCGGCCTCTTGTCCGGATGCTGTTCCGTACACTCTATCCCCAGCTGCAGCATCTCCTCCATCTCCGCTGCCTCCCTCTCGTTCCTCAGCAGCTCCGAGTCCAACACCTCGCTCCTCCACTCCCCTCTGTCCATCGACTCCACCCACCTCCTCAGATCGACTCCTTCCTCGTTCATCACCGAATTCACCGGCGGCTTCCCCGTCAGCAGCTCCAGCATCACCATCCCGAAGCTGTACACGTCAGCCTTCTGTGACACTCTCCTCCCTTCGGTTACTTCCGGCGCACGGTACCCTGTCCCCCGGTTCGGAGTTGGGGAGGGGCCCACCAGCTGGGCCAGACCGAAATCGGATACACGGGCCTCCTTGGATTTGGTAAGGAGGATGTTGGAGGACTTGAAGTTTCCGTGAGAGCTCGAGGTGCCTTGCGAGTGAAGGTAGTTCAATCCGTTCGCTGCCCCCATTGCAATTCTTGCTCTGATTTCCCAGTTCAGTGGAGTCCGGCCAGGGCCGCCTCTGTTCCCTTTTAACACGCAAAGACACACGAGAACGATACAACAAAAGAACTTGAGATTTCGTCAGCTGATAATTGTCTTATGGCTTTTGGATTAGCTGTCACAGGTTCAAGATATGTAAGGACAAGAAGTCAAATAATTCACATTACATGCTGTGTACCAAAATAAAAACCTTTCTTAAACAGGACTGCACTGGCTTTCTCCATGTAGATCACGTAAATTTCAGATGTCATTATGATTGTTAATAACCAGAACCTAGGTTTGAGCTAAAGCTCTGCAAAAGCTGCGAACTATCATCCGTCACATTTAGACCAAAACCTCAAGATTCAGGATGAGTTTCATAACAAAGCCTGGTCAAATAAAGAGAGGTGACTGACCATGTATGAGAGCAGACAAGCTTCCCATAGGCATGAAGTCATGGACAAGCAGCTTCTCGTCTCTGCTGTAATAGTAAGCCCTCAGCGGCACCAAGTTCTCATGATCCATAGCGCCCACTACCTCAATCTTCTCCCTGAACTCCCTCTCCGCCATTGTCACGTCCTTCAGCCTCTTCACCGCCACCACCGTCGCTGCGTCCAGCACCGCCTTGTACGCTGTCCCGAACGTCCCCTTCCCCAGGACCTCCGCCGACGCCCTCAACAGGTCCTCCAGATCGAAAACCCTCGTCGCGTTCCCGAAGAACACCAGCTTCTTCACCCCCGAACCGTTTACCTCCCCGCCTTTCGCATTTCCCGTCATGGCCGCTGCCGCAGCAGCTGCCACCGTGTACCCATTTCCATAGTTTCCGTTTTCAGCAGCCTCCCTGGCCGATTTGTCACCGGGAATTTCAACCTCTTCATGCTTGATGGCGGCAATGCCGACGGCCCTCGACCTCTCGTTGCCCTTTTTCCGGCAGACAACCATCAATATCAACACTAGCAGAGCGAAACCCACCACGCACCCGATGACGATTCCAGCTATGGCGCCGGCGGATAGCTTCTTCTTTCCCTTCTTTACGTTTTCCTTGACGGACCCGGGTTTTCCACTGGCTGTGGGTTGACTGGGCACAGTTCCTTCTTCTGGACAGATGTCGAGCGGTTTGCCGCAGAGGGAAGTGCCCAGGAACGAGTCCGACTCGAATTTCTGCAGATTCTTCGGTACGGATCCATTCAACAAGTTATTGGAAACATTGAACTGATCGAGCGGCAAATCCAAATCTGGGAGCGAACCGGAGAACTGGTTGTTCTCTAGGTACAGAGTCTTCAGCCTCGTGAGGTTGTTGAACCCGGGAGAGATCTCGCCAGTGAAATTGTTTCCAGCAAGATTTAGCCTGACGAGGTTCCTGAGGCCAAACAGGAGCGAGGGAATATCGCCGGAGAACCCGTTCCCCTGAAGATAGAGGTGACGGAGGTCGGAGCAGCGACCGAGATCCGAGGGGAGGGAACCGACCAGGGAGTTGAGGCGGAGGCTGAGAGTGCGGAGCTGAGTCAAATTACCGAAAATGCCCTCAGGAATCCGTCCGGCGAGGGCGACGCCGGGAAGACGGAGGACGGTAACGCGGTTGGCTTCGCATTTGACGCCGGCCCAGTTGCATGGAGTGAGCTGTGAGGTGTTCCAGAGAAATGTGCGACCGCCGACGGCGGAGCGGAGAGAGAGAAGGGCGGCTCTGTCGGCGGAGAGATCCTGCTGCGACGGCGGAGGCAGAGAGAGGATGAGAATGCAGAGGAAGACGGAGAGACCCGCCGTGGAAGGGGACAGGAAGAGCCGCATTGTAGATTCTGGATCAATTCAAAGCACGAAACGACGAAGAAGAAGAAGAAGAAGAAGAAGAAGACGGAAACCCTAGAGAGAGAGAGAGAGAGAGATAAAGAGGGAGAGGAGAGCTCTGGAGAGCTGTGAAATTACTGAGAGCAGGGGAGGAGAGTCAACAGCCTATCCCTATCCCCTTTACCTTTTTTCACATGTTCCATCGCTTTTCTTTTTTTGGTTTTCCGTAAGCACATTTTATCCTAGTATAATTTCAAAATCATATATAAATAAAATATTTCAATGTTAATTGCTACTTAATCGAAAAATAATTTTATTGGTATATGTATTATTACATTTGGAATTTTAATATATATTATATTCTTCCACCTACTTGATTTATTTTTAATATTATCGTAAGAGGAATATTTCAACGTAGAATCCTAGGCGTTGCCAAGAAAATGGAGGAAATAAATATAACAAAATAGGGCCTTTTATTTAATAAAAATATAAAATAATGGAATTTCGTATAATAAAGAGAGAGAAAATAATCATGGGGTTAAAAATCAAATAGCAAAAAATGATTTATCCCTCATCATGGTAGGAGTGAAAGTAAGCACGAATATGCTCTTGTCTATGTCAATGTCTGCGTTTACGCTGGTTATTTCGTATTTCGGTTCGTTTTTCAGATTGATTATTTCGGTTATAAAAATTTATATCCAAACGGTTAGATAGATTTAATCGGTTCAGTTCAGTTTTGGTTCGGTTCGAATCGGTTTTTATATAATATAATTACAACCAAACGGTTAAATAATATCGAACCGAACCGTTCTTATTCGGTTCGGTTATTCAGTTGATAACCGAAATAGCCACTCCTATCTGCATCCTCTGTATCATTTAGATTAGGGGTATTTCGGTATGGTTATTCAAAACCAAATTGTTCGAACCGAAAAATAAGATATTTTTTTAAATAAAACTGTTTAAATTTTTGAACGATATTTTTTTTTAAAATCAATTTTTTCGAAATCGAATCGGATTTTTTAAGAAACCAAAAAATCAAATTTGATTTCGAAAGATCTAAATTTTGTAATAAAAATTATATCAAACCGAATCAAATATGACATAATAACTGATTTGGATGGCCTAAAGCCATTATTTTAACCCAAAATAAATAAAACAAATTATTTACCGATACATGCATATTATAAAGTCGGAATGGGTTTTGAATAAGGAGGGCCCCATACGTCATAATGAGATGAACAAGAAAAAGAGGAGGTCGGGCTCGGACCACCAACCATGTCACAAAGTCACACAAACATCTCACAACCATATTTCACGACATTAATAACACAGCCCTGTCTTCACTGTCAGTGGGGCCCACTTTCTTGCTTTTTTTTCTCTCCCCTCCACGTGTCTCATCTAATGTGTTTTCAATTACTACAAACATTAGCATATATATACATACAAATATAATTAATATTTAAAGAAAAAAAAAGAGTTGGACCGTTGCAGCGCCAATTTGCAAGCGTCATGGGCCGACCGGAAACCGTCGAGACTCGAAGACACGAACAAAAAGGAAAAGAAAGAAATGGCTGATGATGTAGAGCCCCACTTTTAATGAAAACGATACAGCATTTCCCTACGTTATCAAATCCCAACGGCTAGTAATTGAACCGTCGAGTTGTTATTTTTGGATTTATATATATATATATATATATATATATATATATATCGGTGTTTAAATATGTTTTTCAACAAAGTTAAGTTCAGCATCCATGACTAGATACGTTACGTGGCAGACAAGTTTTACATTTACGATGATTCATCGTGCGAGAATACAAAAAATGATGGCTTTTTATTTGGGTAAAACCCTAAGACAAGGAACCATAATAAACCATTGAAGATGTTCGATACGAACACAGATCGGCGTTTCACATTTCTTCCCAACCAACGCCTACCGCATGAGTTTGCTTTTTGGTAAGGTGGGTGAATAACATTTAATATGAATATGATCATTGATCTTCGTTCGTTTAAAAATGGCTGCGACAAATTAATGGCTTCGTGTCTTGCTTCTCGTAAAATTTTCCAAGATGGTTATACTTTCGATGGTCGTAATGCAGCGGTTTTTATTGACCGATTTCGGAAGGGTTTTACCCAATTTCGAATCTCGATAGGCTTAGTTCGGTTCTCGTTCGAACCCGACGGTTTTCTCGACCGAGACCCATCCTTGCCCGTCTTTAGTCTGAACCACTTCGTTCATTCGAACCCCTTTTCCGCATCGAGTCGGACTGTCGCACGAACTTCCTCGATCCATCGAAAAAGTGTGTGACGCTTGTGCGTTCCTCGAGATGCTCTGATGTTGAGGGTTCAATAGGGGTGGATAAATGATTCGGTTCAGTCTGTTCAATTATGTTTCGAGTTGGGTAATTTTGGATATTGAAACTTCATACTAAATGATTTTTTCGTTTTCATCGGTTTGGTTCGATTACAGTTCGGACCGGTTTCGTTGGTGTCTAACTGAAATTGTAACCAAACAATAACCAAAAATACAAATTAGATTCGTTTCGTTACAGTTATAATAGTATATTATATAGGTCTAGGGTTTTTATTTATCTACGGGGTTTAGAAGTTGAACCATCGATAAGGTTCCAATAAAATTTTATATCGACTCCCATACATTATTAATTGTTTTCTCAATCTAAATAGAATTGACGAGTTAATTTCCCCACCTTTTTTTCGTCGTATTTTTAGCAAAACATCAAATTAACAAACACGTGTCCAAACGACAAAAAACATCATGTCATAAACCTTTATTCATCACTAAAATGCCATGCAAGTCATCCAATCTTTAACGTTTTTTTTCTCCTTCCATTTATTGTTCATTGGATACATGCTTAAACGAATCTCGTTGCAGGCGGTGATGGGCCTTGACGACATCTATGGGATTTTTCACATCCTCTCCTGTAAGGATTTGCCGGTGTTGGCGGTTTGCACGTCTCGGGAAATTTAGGGTTACAGCCGGGAATGTTACCGCGGCCTAGGGCTGGATTCCCGATCTCTTTCGCTTCGATCTTCCTCGCACACAAACAAGTCATGAGCATGATGACGAACAAAGAGCCGATGATTTGTCCGAAACAAGCCATGACGATACGCGAAAGCCGAATGAGTTCTCAATATTACGTTTAAAAGTCTACTGTTAATTGCGTGTATAGTTATTGTTATTTATAGTGATAAAAGAAGATACATTTCGGTTTATATATTCTCCGTAGATTTTGTCTTAATATGGCATGATTTGTCTCATTTAAGACATGTCTCACATTAATTAGGATATGATTGCGTTTATAAGATCTATGGTTTAAATGTTACAAAAGCTTGTGATTGGTCATTAGGTATATCTTTTTCTTAATTTATTAAGGTTTTTTTTTTAACAAGTTAATGTGGAATAAGTTTTGCTTAAATATCAACCAACACTTGTCATTAGCAATGCTTTTAAACCATTATTACGAAGGAATTAATTTCCAAGAATTGTAAACATTTTCCGAAATATTTTAGGTACCAATTTCACAAAATAATTATTTTGAAAGTAGTTTAATTAATCAAAGAGGCTATTAATAATTAAGGAGATAGTAAACTACTACTGCTCACTTAAAATTAAAGATGATAGATTATTTCTATATAAGACAACTGATTCAACAGCTTTTGATATGTTACAGAGATTTTTTTTTTTACATTTTTCTAGTCAATCAATTCTAATATTAATTATTATTTTCGATTTCAAATATGTTTTGTAGTATACTAGAAGTTCCCCCTCTACAATGTTATATTTTATATCCTATAAAACTAAATATTAGCCTCGCTGACATTATATTTAGTGGATTAGGCCCAATTATCACTTGAAGCCCAATACCCAAAACTGATCCATTAAGATTTTGTGGCCCATATCCAAACCCAGCCCTAGGTCTCATGTTCTCGTTCAAACAACCCAAAATCGACAGTTTTCCTTTCATGCGATTTCCTGTCTTCTCTAGAAGCTTCTTCATGCCTCTTCCATGGAGAATTCACATAAAATAACTCAAATGGGTCACTTGAATTTTCGTGATACACCTAAAAAAATTACCCAATTTACTTTACATGTAGTACACTTTTTTTTGTTATAAAATTACTAAAAATATCCAAAGATACAAATTATTCAAATACCTTTATTTTATCAATTAAAATAAACAAATTAAAAAATGGTAAAAATGAAAGAAAATTAAAATTTCGCGTTGTCTAACATTTGGAATTGAGATGGCAACACACGTGAAGTTTGTGGACAACACAATTTTATTGTGACTATTTTATGATTATAAAATTATTTATTTACGATTTATATACGCCTTACAATTTCATATATTAACGAAAATATAAAAAAAATTCGTGAAGTATGATGATTTTTCGTTTAGAGATGATGAATATTTTCAAATTGATCAAATTATGAAATTTAATATTCGTTTTATTTCAATTTAAAATTTTTGCATGTTATATGATAAGGAATATGAAAGTATGACAAATATATAATATACCTTTAGATATACGTTTTTTTCAAAGTAAAAAAATATGAAAAAAAATTAAAATGATTCTCAAACCACATAATTTGGTTTACATTGAAATAATCATCATCTATTTATGAAAAATCATTATAATTCATGAATTTTTAATATTTTTATCAATCTACGAAATCATAATATAATTGTATAATGATTATAAATAAATCGTTTTATAGTGGTAAAGTAGTCGTCATAAACTTGGTTCTGGAAATGATTTTTATTTTGGATTTTTAGCTTTAGTTTTTGGTTTTTTGTTTTTAAATTTTGGTTTTTGACTTTGATAGTTTTTATAGTTTTTAGAAAATTTGATTGGTAAATCTAATATTTTAATTTTTGATTTTATATTTAAAAATTATCAAAAAAAATTTAGTATTAAAACAAAAATCATATTTATTAATATTAGTAATAATAATATAAGATGACTACGATACATATTTTGGATAATAAAACAAATAACACCGTCACGCCAAACATAGAACATTATCATCCATTTTCCACACAATTTCTTATCAAAATGCAAATTTATTGATGTAGAAACTACTACTTCTCGAGATGGGTACGAGTACTTGAGACGACAGATTTCAAGTATTCGGTCTTACAGATATTCGAGACCCGAATATTACTAAGCAACGAAATTGAAGATAGATGCGATGATGCCAAAATTCAAACCGTGGATTCAGATTCTAGTTTTTTTTTTTTATCGACGACGGATTACCTCTAAGTATCCGATTATAAATAAAAATAACGTTTATATCCTTTATATTTTAAGGTATTTACGATAATACCTAAATATATTTTCAAATAAAATTATCAAAATACCCTTGAAGTTAACAAAAGTCAACGATTTTATCACGATTTTGACAGTTCACGTATCCACGAATAATTGAGTTCAACGTCGTGTATCCGGGTCACACAAATCTCCTCTAATTTCTTCCACAATGTGGTCGTGGTCTTCTCAAATAAAACATCTTGTAAAATTGAATTTGACAGATATAAATGGATCATAGTTAAGACTTTTGATCCTTTTTGTCTTCAAACACATTTTTAAAATCCCTAAAATCGAATCTTGCAAATCATGTTGAGTTCGAATAGTACGACATCTTCACTTGCCATAACGCAAATCTAAAGTCCTTCTCCGACGGTGGTGGATCATACTTCATAAACGTTATCAGCTAGGTTTAACCAAATGTTGAAGGAATCCTGAATTCATAAATTATTTTTTTTTTATTTCAATTAACAAGACTATGATATCAGTTTGTTAGAGTTTCACGCAACGTAAATAAATCGGAATAACTCTTTATGTCATTTATTTATTTTTATTCTACTTATGAGTTTTACCAAAATCATAAGTAGAGAGAGAATATTTTTTTCATCAAACCAAATCGGGCGCTACTTGCAAGTAGCTGTAAATTATGTATTTTATAAGAGGACAAACCAAATTAGGTTAACCGTCACTTGAAAATATCTCAATGGCTCGTAACATCGAAACATATACAGAATCAAAATCAATTAGCAAATATTTTCATCAAACAAAACTATTATTTTTATTACCTTTGAAATATAAATTGATATCTATATTCTTTTAAAATTTATAATTAGTTGAGACTAATGTTTTGGGATCTCCAGACTTTTTCAAAACTTAATCTTTCTATCTTTTTTTTATAAAAAATTTTAAAAGGAAGAACAAAATGTGAGGGGTGAAATTAGGGGTGGTCATTTCGGTTATTAACCGAATAATGGAGCCGAACCGAATCGAATAAGACATAACCGTATCCGAACCGAACCCGACATCAAAACCGAACGTTTATGATTTACTTAAACCCGAAAAACTGAAATCGAAACCGAACCGAACCGAATAAAAAATAACCGAAAAAACCGAGAGAATAACCGACATTTTCGTTGGAAAATTGAACTTTTTACCAAAACCGAACCGAACCCGAACCGAACCGAACCGGAATTTATATAAAAACCGAATGGTTATAGTTTTTCTATAATCGAAATAACCGAACCCGAATATAACCGAACTGAACCCGAACCGAAACCCGAATTGGCCACCCCTAGGTGAAATGATGAAAGTGTGATATTTGGGAATCAAAAGTACCAACAACTATGTACGGGCGCTCCTTTGCTTTTTCAGTGATAAGGTGTATTATCGCATGGCATCACAAATCTTTGTCGGCATTCACGCTCATGCTTTTTACAAACCTTTGTGGTCTTAGTCAACACTCCTCTTTGTTTGTCGGCTCCGAAATTCAAAAAGTATGACAAAAACGTGTTGCCACCTCACCTCACCTCTACCCACTTCACCAATCTCCCTACGCCTTTGGAGGAAATTATTATCATTATTGCCGTGGGCGTATTATTAGTAGGGTACATTTCGTTACTCATTTTGGTTCCGAGTTGGGAATGATTCAGTTTATTTCTTTCGATTTTAAAAAAATAGATAATAATTTTTTATTATATTACATTCCGTTCGGTTCAGTTTCGAATACAGTTTTTATTAAAAAAAATTAGAACTTTAAAAACAGATTTTTCATAGTTTTTAAATTTCGATTCGATTCGATTCTAGAAAATTCGGTTTTTATAAAACTAAAAACGTTCGAGAATTTTATACGATTCATATAAAAAAAATACCATATTTTTCAATTCGATACAGTTCAATTTCTTAAAACCGAAGCGAAACGTCCTTCCCTAATTACTACTATACATTTGTTATTTATCATCTTATAAAAAAAGGTACTTTTAACATGTAGCCGCTTGTTGGGAGAATCTTCCGTGGCTTTATCTTTTAAAATTATGTATATAACTTATATATCGCAGTTGAAATGTATGAAGACAGTAAAAGACACGACATTTTCAAAGAGAGTGCATGATATTATGGCCCGGGACATGGCTTTTCGTTGGTTTTCTAATACTACAGAATCGCCATGCAGAATCTACACGTGGATAGAACAAACGGATGGATCACGTTCATGTGGATAGTGACAGATGCTAGCGACGGGAAGAAAAACATGAAAGAAGAAGGCCCACGATGATTCACACAATGGAAAGGAGTTCGATAGAAGTGAAGGATTCGATTACTGATGGGAGAGGATGGTGGTCTCTGCGATCATGGAGGAGACGACGTAAGGATCCATGTTGGAGGCAGGCCTCCTGTCCTCGAAGTACCCTTTCCCCTCTTTCTCCGTGTCTCTTCCCACTCTCACCGACGCTCCTCTGTTCGCCACCCCCTGTTTCATGATCATACTCATACATATGCATATCAGAAGCGGTAGTAGCATGGCCATGCAGCATGTATGTACATATACAATAAGTACGTACCCATGAGAACGTGTTGATGTCCGCTGTTTCATGCTTCCCCGTTAGACGTCTCTCGTTCCCGTCTCCGTATGCTGCTATGTGCTCTTTGTGCCTCTTCTCAAGCTTCTCTATCGCCTTCTTTATCACCTCTATTCCTCCCTCTTCCCTCATCGACTTCGTACTACACTCATATACATATATATATATCACAACACGCAGAAAGAGGTCAAGCTTTCCGATGGCAAAGTGTCAGGAAATATCTCTTATTTAGTCCTTTTACCTGTAGTTTGTGTGAGCACCGGCTCCATTCCAGTCACCCTGCCATAAAGATAATATTCAACTCATCATTCAGAACTATCCGAGATGGATCTTAATTTGTCTCAATGATTTCTAGAATATAACAGAACCTGGATCGGTTTGGGGTCGAATGAGACAACTACCCCGGCAATCTCGGCGATCCTCTGTCCAAGAACACAAGTTAACATTGTCTAACCAAACCTATGGCTACAGTTTTTTGTATTCAGATTCATTAGATTACCTCAAGAATGTAACGAGCCACCCATAACTGATCTCCAGCACCGATACCAACGACAGGACCGACTTGGAATTCCCACTGCAAACGGACTAATTTTACTATTGTATATCATCATCTCTCTGTATATACAGCTCAGATATGTATCGGATGTATACCTGGCCAGGCATCACTTCTCCATTGACGCCACTAACGCTGATTCCAGCGTAGAGACAAGCTTTGTAGTGGGCATTCACAATGTCCCGACCAAGGGCCTTGTCTGCTCCCACACCACAGTAGTATGGTCCCTGTTTATCCATCCCCAAACCGAAAAAACATGTATGTATGCATTATACATATGAATGATTTATGACTAGCACAAAGGAAGGATCAATGAGCGAAAAATCGTCACCTGAGGGCCAGGGTAACCACCAACAGGCCATCCTAATGGCCATTTCACGTCCTTTTGCAACAATGTGTACTCTTGCTCAATCCCATACCTTAGTGAAAGAAAAAACACTCACATTAGATATGCAATTTTCAAAGCTATGGGAGGGGAAAAAACACAAGAAAATGATTGTTAATAAAGAGCATACCAAGGCTCTTCCGCCACGACGTCAGGGTGGCTGAAGATCTTAGCGGCTTTGTGCCTCTTGTTGGTCGGAAGGGGTTCTCCGGTCGGTGTGTAAGCATCACACATCACCTGATTGATTGTTCGATTCGACACGATTTAAGACGAGAACTTTTGGATCAAGATCAGCGAAAAATGGATTATCAAATCGAGATGATCTCACCAGAATGTTGTTGCCCCTCCTGAATGGGTCCCGAAAGATGGCCTGAGGGCTTTTTATGGGCACGAAAACAACGGGGAGAATTGAGATAACTTTTTCATGCCATAGATATAACTCATAGAGATGAACTTACTATAGAATGACTTCACTGTCATCTCCGGTGGCCTGACCGGTGCTGGAACCGTCGTAGTTCCATTTGGGTAGCTTTGATGGGTCACTTACTGGCCCGTGTAGAGTCTTTTTTTTTTAAAACAAAAATCATGTAATGGTGCAAAACAAGAGCAGATCAATAAATCGCCATAGACAACAGGGGAAGAGATAATACAGATGAATATATAGGAAGATTCTGTGTATGTGTGTATCTATTACCCTGGCTTTGCTTCTGATGTCCATCCCAGATCCACCGATCCTGCTCATTCAAAGTTCATCGTCATGTTTTATCCCAAAAACACATATCCAGAGGAGGAAAAGCCATTATATCGAGACAGCATAAAACAGACGCAGGAGGAAAGGAGAAAAATGACGGGAACACACGATAATCGACGCAAGACAGTGAGACGAAACGTGTTCATAGTTCATGCGACAGTTCTAGTAGCCGGTAAACAGAAACAAACGTCGAGAAATCAACAAAATCAGGGAAAAAAAGATAAGGAAAAATTGAAAGAAGAGAGACAATCACAGGGAGGAAAAGCCAACGAGAAATCGGACCAGATGTACTCGGCGATGAGTTTGTCAGTGGAGCCGGAGAGGTCGAGGTTGATGAGATCTGAGAGAAGAGAATCCATGGCGTCGATGAAATCAGTTTTCCGAGGTTCAGCGCTCTCCCCACGGCGTTGTTTTATAGGGCCGTCGATGGAAGCTTGGAAATGTTTTAAAAAAAATATATTTTTTTTATTTTTAAAACCAACAATTTTATTATTTAAATAAAATTATATTATATTTAAAGAAATGTATTGGTTTTATTATTAGGGAAAATAAAAAAACTGACTTTTTTAATTTTCACAAAACAAAACTTAATCTTTATTTTTTTATCAAATAAATCTAAACTCGATTTTTTAATCGAAAATAAATATAAACTTTATGATTATTCTTATTTTAAAACCTGAATAATGTTATAGTATATTGATATTATATGTGTCAAATTAATATTTTGATCATATTGATACGTTATCATTTACATATCCTGATATCGATATGTCATATCAACAACGATTTTAAAAATGATAACTGTTATAAAGTTCAGTTTTATTTACGAGTGAAAAATCAAAATTGAGATTTTATTTGGTTAAAACAAAATTTAGATTTTATTTTATAAAAATTGATAAATTCATGCATTTTTTGGAATTTTTTCCTCATTATTACTGTAATAATAATTTTAGTATTCGAAATTTATAAAGAAAATAAGATTTCATAATAGTTAAAAAATTTAGGAAATGGATTTCTACATATATATGATTGTTTAGAAACTTTTTAATGTAAACGAGGTTGTATCCAAGAGGAGAAAATAATTAATTATTCCGAGCAAATGTAGTTTTAAGATTTGATTTAAGAAAAGGTAGTAGGTAGATCACTCTTTGAGCCCTCTCTGCTCTGCCCTCTCTCAGGAGTATTATAATAAATATCTTTACTTTGCTACAAAGATTTCACTGCATACCCCTCACTTTCTGGAAAAAAAACAATTTCACACAATACCTTTATAAATGTATTCTCCCCATTATATCTTTATACACCTTTTTTAATTCATTAATTTGTATTTTTCTCTCCCCACATTTCTCTCTTCTCACGTTTCTCTCTCCTCGCATTTCTTTCTCTACGTGTTTCTCTCTCATCGTGTTTCTCTCTCTTCGCGTTTCTCTCTTCTCATGTTTCTCTCTCCTCGTATATTGGTCATAGTGGTCACACCGTTAAAAAAAATAACCACATTGGTCACTTTAATCACAATTGTATATCAGTCACACGATTCTCATTAGTCCTACATATATCTTACAAATTTTATTATTTATAAGCATAATGAAAATAAGTCACGACTGGATGGAAATGAGACGAATTTAGTAGACTATGCAAATGATATTCGAAGTGAAACTAGAATGGATGGAAATGAGATGGATATCGTGGAATGTAGAATGCAAAATACAAGGATAATGCTCATCAAAGTGTTTCTAAAACATTACCATCATTTATGAGATTCGTTTTGTGATCATAGCTTTCGATCGTATAATTCTCATCAACTTTCAATTCCGATTTCTTTTTCGAACCCTTTCTTTGGTCATACAATATGCTTTGAAAGTGTTGAATTCTCGAAATTCCTCAGTGTGGTCAGTGTGACCATCGAGATATGCACAGTGAAAAAACTGGTCCAATTCATCTGTTGAAAGCTAAAATAAGGTCTATACATTGTAAAATGTATAATTTTACTTTATAAGAATATTTTAGAGGCGGATAAAAACAACTAATTTACGAACACAAAGTTACATTGATCCAAAGTGTTTCTAAAACACTACTATCACTTATGAGATTCGTCTTGTGATCATAACTTTCGATCGAATAATTCTCATCAACTTTCAATACCGATTTCTTTTCTAAACCTTTTCTTTGGTCGTACATTACGTTCCGAAAGTGTTGAATTCTCAAAATTTATTGAGTGTGACCAGTGGGACATGCATACGTGTGAAAAAACTTGTTCAATTCATCTGTTGATGGCTAAAATAAGGTCTATACACTGTAAAACGGTACAATTTCACTTTATAAAAATGTTTTAGAGGCAGATAAAATAACAAATTTATGAACACAAAGTTACATTGGTCCAAAGTGTTTCTAAAACACTACTATCACTTATGAGATTCGTTTTATGATCATAGCTTTCGATCGGATAATGCTCATCAACTTTTGACCGCGATTTCTTTTCCGAACCTTTTCTTTGGTCGTACATTACGTTCTGAAAGTGTTGAATTCTCGAAATTTGTCCAGTGTGACCATCGAGACTTGCATAAGTGTGAAAAAACTTGTTCAATTCATCCGTTGAGGGCTAAAATAAGGTCTATACACTGTAAAATGGTATAATTTCACTTTATAAGATCGTTTTAGAGGCAGATAAAACAATAAATTTATGAACACAAAGTTACATTGGTCCAAAGTGTTTTTAAAACATTATTATTACTTATGAGATTCGTTTTATGATCATAGATTTCGATCAGATAATTCTCATTAACTTTCGACCGCGATTTCTTTTACGAATCTTTTTTTGGTCGTACATTACGCTCTGAAAGTGTTGAATTCTCGAAATTTGTTCAATATGACCAGTGTAACCATCGGGACACTAGTCACACTGGTCACACTAAGTAGATTCCCGCCATATATAAATAAAGAAGTAAAATAAACTTTAACACAACATAAAATAAAATCAAAGGTTCAAATTGAAACAACTAAACCAAAGTTTAAGATGTAAAATTAAACAAAGTTCAGATAAGAATATCAGAAAATATCTTGCATCAGGGGAGGAATCATCACGTCGTTCAGAATTGGGAGGAAGCATGACAATGTTACCATTACAGAAGATATTCGCGGTAATCTTCTCACGGATCGACTTCGCGTTTTCATCACAAATTTCAATGCACAACATATTTTCTTCACCACGCATCAAGGCTTCGAGGTACTTTACTGTAAATACATCGCAATCATCTCCATTACCATTTTGCGGTAGGCCTTCAACATAATGATAATCAAATATGGTGTCAGGATCAATTCGATATAGCTTGGAAACCGAATATATCTTCGGGATACACCATTCTAGTCGACCAATAATTACGTCAACGTTCGGCCTCATTTTTAGGTTACAGTCAAACACCTGGATTAGCTTCTTCGAAGGGATGACTTTCATGGCTACCCAATGCGCACTTACATCATCGTTCACCAATGAAGGAATACTCAAGGGAGTAATAAACCCTTCATAACTTTCCATATCCCTTCTTTCACCACCGACGAGTGCTTTTCCTGCAAAGTATTCCTCAAGACCAAGCAATTCTTGTTGATTTCCATGGACCCACCATTTGAAAAATTCATCGAAACTCGTATCGCCAAGCATGTATTTCTTTGTTGTTTGAATGCGTTCCTTGGCCAGACGGTTCTGAATATCGAGTATAGCTTCATCCAAGTACTGTAAAATAACGTAATATATTAATGTGACTAGTATGATCAGTGTGACCAGATAATATAACAGTGTGACTAGTGTGACCAGATAATATAACAATGTGACTAGTGTAACCAATGTGAATTTTTAATTGTTTGACTAGTGAGACTAGTGTGACCAATGTGAATTTTTAACTGTGTGACCAATGTGACTAGTGTGACCAGCTAATACAACAGTGTGACTAGTGTGACCAGATAATATAACAGTATGACTAGTGAAAAAAATGCACTTACTCTATTTTTGAGCCACACCCTCTCCTGTAAAATATCTTCCCAGAACCTTGGTTTTCTCATATAATCGAGTTCTGATTTCCATATTCGATTCGGACGTTCCTGTTGGTTTAGTGCTCTATGGTGTACTGTTATGCGAGTTTTATTTAGATACATTTGATGTATTGGCACTTTCTATGGTTTATGAATGAGTGTTTATTCATTACATGTTGTGCATACTTAATATGTTATGAAATCCAATGTATTGTTATGAACACTATTAAACTCCCTAGTCATATGTCATTATGGGAATAATGATGTACTAAGACTAGTATGATGTGTGATTGATGATCATATATATGATCATAGGTATTGGATACGATCACAATCATAGGTATTCGTTGGAGAACAGAATACTGGATTCACCTGCATGAGATTGTCACATGGACTTGCGTCATGACTTGAATCTCATATGATGGTTCCATGATTGGATCTTAAAACCTGAGATATCTACAGAATCCAACATGAGGAGTTGCGTACTTTGAATACGTCAAACGTCCTGCGTAACAGGAGGACTATAAAGGCGTGTATCAGGTACGAAACGAATCATGTGCTGGATTATAGATAGTCAAGACGAGATTTGTACCTCTCGTAAAAGAGAGAGATATCGATGGGCCCCTCGTGTGAGCGTGACTGTAGAAATGTGTGGCCGCACTATAGACGAACGTCGTCTATTTTACACAGTCGAACTCAGTGAACGAGAAAACAGTCAAATCAGATAAGGTGGCTTGTCCATGCCTTATGTTCGACATATGATATCGTGATACAAAAGGATCATCAAACGGAATCATCACTGGCGTTCGTAAGATCACGAACAAACTCTATTCGAGATAGGTAGTCATAGTGTCTTGCTAGAGACTGCCTATGACTTGTATAACCGAAATAGAGATTTTAGGTTATACTTCTATATCAGATGAGCCTACAGGGTCACACACACAGGAAAGGACAAACGCACGAGAAAAGACGAGAATTTTTCGGTGGAACGGAGGCCAGACCGACCGGTCCAGACGTAGACTGATCGGTCCACAGGTAACATGCAAATGTTGCTCGGTTCGGAAAATGTTCCAGACTGATCGGTCCAGGCGTCGGGATTTCATTAACTCGTCCAAATTAGGGTTTTAAGGGCAAGGAACTTTGGGGAACGCCTCCTAAGCTCTTTGGCACGACTTTCAAACCTTTTTGAGAGATTTTGAGAGCGAAAACCTAAGAGATTAATCCCTGAAACCCTCGCGCAAAGAAGAAAGTGTTCTTCAGTCCTAGCAGACGAGTTCCAACCGTTGGAATCCTTTCCGCCGTGTGGATACGTGTAGAGGGCGAGGTATTCTTCCTGCCTACAGTGATCGAACGAACACATCAATTGATACAG